TCGAAGAAAGTAGTAGTACAATGATGATCTTCTCTCAAGATCGGGGGTACAAAGAGATTGAAACACACACAAAGAAAAACTCACTTTTTCTTCCCTCTTTTCTTTGCTCTCTATTTTCTTATCTGCGCTTGATGGTTAATGCCTATCAATAGCTGATATATAAAGTGTAACTTTTAACCTAAAAGCAAAATTAATAGAAAAGATAAAAAAAAAAATCCCTAATAATAATATTTGGCTTCATCTGCCAACACATGGATCATGCCCTTCTTGCATTGGTGGATGAAGTCCAAGGTAATACTTGTAGGGTTTGGGGACCGGCACTACAAAAAAACATGTTTTTTGCGACGGATTTTGCGACGGAATTTTTTCCGTCACTACTAGGTCGTCACAAATTTTTGCGATAGAAAATTTCAATTTTCGTCCCAAATTTGCGACGAAAAAAAAATTCGTCGCAAAAAATTCGTCGCAAAAATCATCGCAAATTAGCCACGAACACTATCCGTCGCAAAGTTCGTCGCAAATATTTCGTCGCAAAATTCGTCGCAAAAATCGTCGCAAATTAGCCACGAACACTATCCGTCGCAAAGTTCGTCGCAAATATTTCGTCGCAAAAATCGTCGCAAATATTTCGTCACAAAATTCGTCGCAAAATTCGTCGCAAATTAGCCACGAACACTATCTGTCACAAAGTTCATCACAAATATTTCGTCGCAAAATTCGTCACAAAAATCGTCGCAAAATCCGTCGCAAAAATCGTCGCAAAAATCGTCGCAAAAGTCATCGCAAAATTTGTCACTAATTTTTCGTCACAAATTTTCATCGTAAAATTCATCGCTAATTTTTCGTCGCAAAATTTGTTGCTAATTTGCCACGAAATTCTTTTTTTTTTTTGTTAATAATTTGCGACAAACTGATTCGTGGCAAAATTTGTCGCTATTTTGCCACGAACATTGTTCGGGAACGAATTTAGCGACGAATTTTTATTAATTCGTCGCAAATTAGCAACGAATTATAAAAATAGTTACAAATGTGCAGCAAAAATTTATTACGGGTTGCCTCCTCACAACTGGCACAATGCAAATTGTATCTAATCCACGGCTGAAACCTGGTATATCTACCACAAACTCAGCCTTGCAGAATTCCTTCTAACCTCTGATATCAAGTACATGAATATTGGCAACAATAGTACATGCTTTAATATAAATTCTCAGTACAGAGCTGAGCTCTCGAGGGAACCCTGAGCTTCATATCCTCGGCGGCCCACCACACCCTCCTCGAGATCTCCCGCCACCCCTTGTACACCAGCACCACCACAAGCAGCTCCGCCGGCGGCAACCTCCTCAGGACCTCCCACAAGCACCTGGCGGGCAACCCGCCGGCGTCCGCATCCCCGTCCACGAAATCCCGATCCCGCTCGTCGAGATCCGGCTCCACCTCGTCGAAGTCCTCCTCCTCCTCGTCGGCGCGGACGTCGAGGTCGTCGAAGGAGAGCACGCGGCGGATGAGAGCGAGGACGGCGTGAGGGCGACGGCAGCGGACGCGGAGGAGGCGGCAGCAGCGGCGGCGTTGACGGGCATGGAGGAGGCCACGACAGCGGCAACGGCGGAGGAGGAGGAGTCGGCGGGGGAGGGGGAGGAGCCGGCATGGCAGGAGCGGCCCTTCTTGGAGAGGCCGCAGCGGCCGCAGTTTTAACTGCCGAGCTTCTTGCCGAGCTTGGCGGTGGCGTCGTCGGAGGAGGCGGCGAGGGAGTCGGAGGGGAGGAGGTGGGGCTGGTGGAGGCGGCAGATCATGGCGGAGGAGCGGCAGAGGAGGCTAGAGAGAGAGAAAGAGGGAGAGAAGTTAGAGAGAGAGAGGGAGGGAACGCTGTGGTGGTGGGGGAATAAAAAAAGCGAGCAAAGGGGAGACGATGGCGCGAGGGGGGATAGCGCGGGTTCCTGAAAATTTTCGATCCGACGGAAAAAAAATCCGTCGCAAATTTGCGAAGGAAATAAAATCCGTCACAAATTTTGCGACGGAAAAAAAATCCGTTGCAAATTTGCGACGGAAAAAACAAATCCGTCGCAAATTTGCGACGGAAATAAAATCCGTCGCAAATTTGCCCCAAAAATAAAATCTGACCCAAATTTGCGACGGAAAATAAAAATCCGTCGCAAATTTGCCCCAAAAATAAAATCCGACGGAAATTTGCGACGGAAAATAAAAATCCGTCGCAAATTTGCCCCAAAAATAAAATCCGTCGCAAATTTGCGATGGAAAATAAAAATCCGTCGCAAATTTGCCACGGAAAATAAAAATCCGTCACAAATTTGCAAATTTGCGACGGAAATAAAATCCGTCGCAAATTTGCCCCAAAAATAAAATCCGACGCAAATTTGCGACGGAAAATAAATCCGTCGCAAATGTGCGACGGAAAATAAAAATCCGTCGCAAATTTGCGAAGGAAAATAAAAATCCGTCCCTAATTTGCGACGGAAAAAAAATCCGTCGCAAATTTGCCCCAAAAATAAAATCTGACGCAAATTTGCGACGGAAAATAAAAATCCGTCGCAAAAATTTTTGCAACTGCTTTTTTTTCCGTCGCAAAATTTGAGATGGATTTTTTTTTCCATCGCAGATTTTGTTTCCGTTGCAAATTTGCAACGGAATTAGCGATGGAAATGTTTTTACCGACCAATTTTTCAAATCCGTCGCTAATTCCGTCGAAACCTTGAGTAGATATGCTTCTACACTTTTACATATAATGTGACTAGCATTACGAACATTGTGGAGAAACATGATTGATGTGGATGTCATTGTTACAAACAGACTCGATTGACGCTTTCTCAAATAACAATAGGGCTCTGATACCAAGTCAAGAATGTGATAAAAAAAATTAAGAGCAAAAAAAAAATATATATATCATTGTCAAATGAAGAGTACACGAACCTATTTATCGGTTTTATAGGATGACTATCTAAAAGTGAAAATATCAATTACAATCAATTAAAGGAAATATAGGGAATCTTCTAAATATTTCTCTAATAGAATGCATGCCCTATATTCACTTATCATTCGGATGTAACCCTTTAGGAGTAATTCATCTAATTGGTTAGATCAAATTGGTTAGGTCTAAATAAGAATATCTCTTTTATAAGATCTCCTATAGATATCCCTATATAGATACATTGACTTTACATTTCATACATCCACCCGATTCCAATCTATTTGAAAATTGTTATAATTTATTTACCCATATATTTACTCATACATAAGAGTTACGTGCGGAGGAAACCGCCACATTCAACTAAATAGATATCTGCGTTATCTATATCTAAGTCTTGAAAAAAGAAAAGATAAGATTTGCACCTATCGAATCTAAAAAAGCTTATTTGGGATGAGAACATTTTAAGAGATTATCTAATATCTTGAGTTTATAATAGATCTTCTTATCTAATTTGAATTTGTAAATCTAATCTCTCTTAGAATTGGACGTGTAGCAAATCGTCCAATCTCTTTTGAATTTGAACTTGTGACAATCATCCAATTCGTCTCTACTTTCGTCGCAAAATGGTAAATTTCATTGCACAAATTAGCGACAGAAAACAAATCCGTCGCAAAATTCGTCGCAAATTTACGACGAAAAATTAGTCGTCGCTAATTTGCAACGGAATTAGCGACGAAAATTTTCCGTCGCAAATTTATGACGAATTTTGCGACGGATTTATTTTCCGTCGCAAATTAGCGACGGAATTTGCGACGGAATTTTTCCGTCGCAAATTTGCGACAAATTTTGCGACGGATTTATTTTCCGTCGCAAATTTGCGACGGATTTATTTTCAGTCGCAAATTTGCGACGGAATTTGCGACGGATTTATTTTCCATCGCTAATTTGAGACGGAAAATAAATCCGTCGCAAAATTCGTCGCAAATTTGCGACGGAAATTTTTCGTCGCTAATTTGCGATGGAATTAGAAATCTGTCGCAAAGTTTGTTGCAAATTAGCGACGAAAAATTTCCGTCGCAAATTTCCATCGCAAAATTCATGTTTTTTTGTAGTGCAGTTCCATGGAGCTAATGGGCGGTTCCTGATTCTAATTTTTTCGAACCGGTCCTTAGTGGGTGGCTCTCAGTTTCAAGGTGAGAATCGCCCACTCGGACCATGCTCACCCTTGGAAGTACTATTTGCCACCCAATCCCTTTAGTGTATGTATAGAGTTCCTCTTTGTACCCAACATAAAGATCAAAGCAAGATGGAAAGGCTTCCTGCTACTTCAAAGTGGATTTGTTTAGTAGACTCTCCACGATTACTTTTGCGGATCCGTCGTTGACTTGGCTTGACTTGCGTCTTTAGCTCCGCCACTATTGTATCCTTCCCGGAGATTATACACAGTCTAAACGTGTGTTGTGAGAGTATTGTCCTAACAACCACCAAGATAGCCAGACTAGTAGCAAACGGGTTCGTGTGTCTTCTACGACGTCACAACTCTGACTCGCATCGTGAGTGAACCTCTGAACTGCTCGTACCGCATTGCTCAATAGCTATATACCTTGCGTGAGGAGACATCCCGACCACCAGCATCTCAATGGAGCTGCGATGACATGTTTGCCATCATCGAATTCTTTGAGCTGCGGTTGGTGCGGAGTTAACTATGGCTCAAACGAAATATCCCGTAGCAAGTGCGGCGAACCTATGGCGAACCTATGGTAACGTTGAGAGGGAGTAGCTAGCGCGGATCGCACTTCCCCGGCCTTTTCTTCCTCATATGAGAAGAGTGTTGTCAGGCCCATGGGCACAAGATCTAGCCCGGCCCAGCACGATTCGCTTCGCGCCAAAATTTTCGTTCAATAAACAAAGGGATCGCCGGGTCATATTCGTCTGGTCTGGTCTGGTCTGACGCTTAGTCGACCCGGACAACCAATGACGCCAAATGGCGATGACTTCCCGTTGTTAACTAACCAACTAATTAGCAGTCAAATCACGACAACTAATCTGATATTAAAAATGTTAGCACATTAATCAGTCCACTCCAATGCTTCCATCGTCATCGCCTTGCCGCCAGCCGAAGCCGGCCGGCTCAGCTACTCCCCCCTCTCTGTCTCTTTCTCCCTGGCGTTGAATGTTTCCAACATTCATTTCCATGGAAACTGTCCTGAATGAAGTCCTCGCAAATGGAACAGAGTAACGGCTTTCTTTAATCCCTTTTCATCTTCTTTTTCATTCCCATTTCCGGGTAGTTTACGAAGAGACTAAAAGAGTGCCGCCTCAGTTTTTCTAACCCGGTTTTTCGTTAATTTAGTGAATGATGAATTGCCCTGGTGCTTCTGTTGCATCGGCAGAGTTCGTGTCTGCATGAACCTTGTGCTTTATATCGATCGAGCTGCGCCGCTGGGACGGACTGATCAGGGGGTGGAGAGTGAAGAAACCGGTAGTTGCCATGCTGCAGTTTTGTTATGGGAGACTAGAGAATAAGGCTCGACTTAGCAGAGATCGTTTGAAACTGTCTGGACCAATGTCCGGATCAGAGTAGCCTGAGAGAGAGGAACAAGCAAGGCGACCGGAGAAAATGTCTGGCAATTACAGATCCTCAATGGACCAGGAGGACATAGTTCAGTTGTTGATCACGAACATCGGGAGTTTTATCCAGGACCGGCTGATCAACAAGGAGCAGAGGATACGCCAAAAGGAACAGTGTGCGGAGAGATTGGCGGCCGAGGGAGGTAGCAACCACATGGGCACCGAGGTTCGATATTCTGATCAGGCAGTGCTGGCGAATTTGGATTGGGGGATAGATGCCCTTGAAGAAGCTATCAATACCTCCAACATGGAGACGAAGCTTGCCCGGTTGGACTACGCTGAGAAGATGCTGCAAGTGTGCGCGATGTTGAATTCGCAGCAGAAGACCGCCGGAGTCCCCAATTTCTACCTCTCTGCTTGGGCGCAGCTCAATCTTTCATACTTGTGGATGCTGAGGAACGACGATCGCGAGTCCGCACTTCATGTCATTGAGATGTTCATTGTGGACCCTTTCTTTTCACGGATCGATTTCGCTCCCGATCTTTGGAGGGACCTGTTTCTTCCGCACATGAGCTCGATCGTCGGGTGGTACACGGAGGCGAGGCACAGGCTCGTGATGGATGCAATTCCGGACGCTTCTGACATGTCCTTCACGGCTGATATGGACCAGTTTCTCAACGAGTCAGTTGTCTTCTCGATGAGGCCCGATCAGATGGAGAAGATGCAGAAGCTCGAGAAGCTCTATCGAGAGTCCTTGGATGAGAATACGAGGCTTTATGCGAAGTACTATAGGGACTGCATGAACTGCGATTCGAGCAGCGGCAAGAAGGTAATGCCCATGTTCCCGATCGCAGAACCCCCGATGACTCCCTTGCATGAGTTGAGCCGTTCCATTCCAGATTACATGAAATTCGGTCCGATTCTGCCCAAGAGTTCGGGGTTTTCTCCGATCCTGCAATCAAATGATGGCGCGAGACAAGCGAGCAGGTTATTTGTTATTCGAATTAGTGCACTATTTCTTTGCATTTTAATTCTATTTCAGTATTAATTCTTTCTTTCTTATGTCTTCCACAGATTAAGAAATGTAGCCTCTGGTATTTCCGAGGATATGGAGGAGTATGTCGCCCGCGAGCACCACGTAAGTCAATACATTGTAACTGTCACTTGATACGCTCTTAAGCTCTGTCAGCTCTCTGAATTTCATCGAATTTTAATATGATTATGACTCAAATGTTGGATGCAATCCCAGGAAGAGCTAACTGACAAGAACGACAACGATTCTGAATATGAGAACGATGAGCCCTCCATGGTTTCCGAATATAAGAATCGCAGCCTAATCTCTCTCAAGAGTATGAGAATCGCTGAGGAAAAAAGCAACGGGCACGAACGACTTCCGAACCCAGCAAAAGTTCGATCGAGTCCCAAAATGTTCACTCCTGTCGATTCCCCCAAAACTACTTCTAAGGTTTCATCTCCAAAAGCCGACACATATGACAGAAAGGAACCAGCAGCAGTATTGCGCCTGCTTTCAGGACGCATCCGAGATTCCACAATGTTCAACTCTTTGCCTCAATCGCCACACCTAAATGGTGATTTCAGTATAAACTCTGCGAATTCGGATGGTGAAGTCATTGTAAGTTTTCTTTTGCACAGTCTAGACCCCTTCAGATTTGTGTTCATGTCCTTCCTCTGGTATAAATTGAAATGATGCATTCTTACTAAAACTGGTTTCTCAAGACAGTTGCCGCATAGAAGCTGCAGGAAAAGCAACAGCAGAGCACAGAGCATAAGCAATGACTATGTGAGAGGCCAAGTATTTGACAATAGGTAAGGAAGTGTCATTGGGAAGTAATAATCTGTAGTTTCTTGTGTCAACTTCACCAACTTGCAATGCAGGACCCTGACAAATACTGTTATCAAAATTAATGACTTTGGTACTTACTTTCCTCCTTATACATGTTACTCTTTTGCAATTCTGCAGTTTTCATACTGAAAGTGACGACGATAATAATAGCTGCATTTCGCTCCCACTATCTGACAATCAAACTTGTCGAACAAAACCGCCCAAAGATTTTGTCTGCCCAATCACAGGCCAGCTTTTCAGCGATCCGGTTACCCTTGAAACGGGTCAGACATATGAAAGAAGAGCAATTCAAGAATGGATAGAGAGGGGAAACACGACTTGTCCCATCACTCGGCAAGCTCTCTCCGCGAGCACATTGCCCAAGACAAACTACGTCCTTAAAAGACTAATCACATCTTGGAAAGAACAGTATCCTGATATTGCTCAAGAATTTTCATATGCAGAAACACCAAGAAACTCGAGGAGTTCTTCCTCTATGACCGAAAACCTTGAACCTTCAAATGTGTCCAGGACATTTGACTTCCCCACTAATACAAACTCAGATGGGTACACGAATCTGAGGCGCAAAAGATTTACACAAGGAGTAGTATCTACATCACCAACGAGTGTCATATCTCAAGCCGCTACGGAGACAATCATAAATGGGCTAAAGCCACATGTCTCATGCCTTTGTACATCAGAGGACTTGCAAGAATGTGAGGCGGCAGTCCTGACAATTGCCAAGACCTGGAAGGAGACAAAAGGGGATCCTGCAATTCATTCATACTTGTCCAAACCTACGACTCTGAATGGGTTAGTTGAAATATTATCGGCTTCACTGAATAGGGAGGTTCTCAGATATTCAATTTACATTCTCTCGGAGTTAATATATGTCGATGAATCTATTGGAGAGACCCTCACTAGTGTCGACTCTGATTTCGATTGCCTGGCTGAATTACTCAAGAACGGTCTTGCCGAGGCTGCTGTCCTCATATACCAGCTGAGGCCGCCATACGCCCAGCTTTCAGCCAACAACCTCGTACCCTCCCTTGTGCAGTTGATACTTAACAAAAGCGAAGATCTGAATGATCTCCAACTGTTAATCGAACCAAAGGACGCTGCTATAGTGATGCTCGAGCAGATTTTGATGGGAGGGGACAAAAACGGCCGGTCCACCAATGCTCAAAGTGTTATTTCGGCAAATGGAGTTCCGGGCCTGATCAAGTACATGGACAAGGTTGAAGTAAGGCAGTCAATTATCTCCATACTACTGTGCTGTATGCACGCTGATAGAACTTGCAGGAATTTGATAGCAAACAGAGTCGAATTGTCTTCGGTCCTTGACCTATTTCATGCTGGAAATGACAATGTAAGAGGCATTTGCATAGACTTTCTGCTGGAACTAGTCCAAACGGACAGGTACTTTCTGCTGGAGTATACAAATCTAATTTATGTTAGCATTCACTTGTCATGCAAGCTTCACATGTTTGAGCTTTGTCATTTGAAATGCATCAACATTCAGAAAATGAATGATTTAGTTAATTCCTCACGTAAAACGAATGTATTCGTGTTGACCTAAATTAACTAAAGTCTGGACCTAAGGAAAGTTCAGTTACTAATTTGCGGATAAAAAGTTCATAGTACCACATGTTTCATCGTTGTGATGGTTCACATATATGGTCTGATAAAGTCGAACCTTATGTAACGATTTCAATTCGCATAGGCATTAGAGGGCTTATAGGAAACACATTATGTGGCCACCTCTATGTTACTATCTTGAGCACTTTTCTTGTCATTTTCTAGTAGAAGCATTAATACATGATTTTGTTGTCTCAGAAGAACAATCTGCAACCAGATATTGCAGTTGATCAAAGACGAAGGTGCATTTAGCACCATGCACACCCTCCTGGTGCATCTTCAAATGGCTCCTATGGAGCAACAACCAGCTATTGCTACACTTCTTCTTATGCTTGATCTCCTGGTTAGTACTTCTTCCTCTCAAACACCGTCTGCATCAGATATTGCAGGTGCAGATTAAACTTAGAACTCACATATTCGGTGATTTTTCACTTTTGCAGGGAGAACCTAGGAACATGAGCATTTACAGGGAAGAAGCAATAGAGGCCCTGATCGAGGCACTGCAGAAGAAGGATTTTCCCAATTCCCAGATAATGGCTTTGAATGCTCTATTATGTCTTTCGGGACGCTTGACCGCCTCGGGAAAATCCTGCACTGAAGCTTGGTTGCTGAAGGTTGCAGGGTTCGATCAACCATTCAATGCTCTAATGAAGGTGGAAAGGCCAACAATGCATGAGAATGAATTGGCAGAGACAATGGTTGAATACATTTGTTCGGTAGTTCATGTACATTCATATGCACATTCCAAAAGTCTAAAAGCTTCTCTTCTATGTAGGAAGAGGAAGAGAAAGCTGCAAATTCTTGGGAGAGAAGAGTGGCCTTTGTCCTTTGCAACCACGAAAAGGGATTCATTTTCAAATCTTTAGGGGAGTGCCTCAAAAGTAATTCCATTGAACTGGCGAAATCATGCCTCGTGATTGCCACGTGGCTCACGTACATGCTTTCTGTTCTTCCTGATACCGGCATGAAAAGTGCTGCTCGGAAGTCTTTCCTCGATGAATTCATAAACGTGCTCCAGTCATCTAAGAACTTAGAGGAGAAGATTTTGGCCACCTTAGCAATAAAAACTTTCATCAGCGACCCAGGTACGATCCATTATAGTGTAGTTAATGCTCACATTTAGACGCCGCATAAATTGACAGGTTGCTATCGAATTTTCAGCGGCACTTGAAGAACTGGGAATGTACGCTAAATGCATTTACAAAACGCTGGGAAAGCTGAAGAAGCATTCAGTATTAGTTGCTGACATATTAAAGGCCTTGATGAACTTGACATCTGTGAATGCAGTAAGTGGTCCTATTCTGCTTGCTGTGAATCAAGGGTTGTATATACATATGAGCAACTAGTGATTTCTAATATCCTAATTTAGACAGAGTTATGGAGTTACAGTGAAGTGATCGAATTGGAATCGTCTGCAAATGGCGAGGTCCTGTCTTTGCTTCATTTGAAGGGACTGCTTCTAAGCAGCCATTCTGACGGAACCATTAAGGTTAGATGCAAAGCAAACCACTGTTTTCCCAACTTTTAGGCTTCATTCATTCGAAAGCAAGCACACGACATGCTCATTCTATCGCAAGATGGCTTCCATAACCAAGTCTTCTCTGATCATGCGCGTTATCTTGCCATAGGTCTGGGACGCTAGCAAGAGGGTCTTGAGATTGATCCAAGAGGTTCGCGAGCACACAAAAGCTGTTACATGCCTCTACGTTCCCCCTTCTGGTGACAGACTGTACAGTGGTTCCTTGGACAAGACGATCCGGGTAAATCATCTCAAAATACACTATTTGCGTCCTTCTAATTTAGATCATGACCAATTCATAGACCTGAACTTGACCAATGGCACAAATACAATTCACAGATAGTCCATCTAAGATCTTTACCTTTGTTTCCTCGTTCACAAAGTGGCCTTGCACGACTAGGCAGATGAATAGACTTTGCTATTGCCTTATAATGCTAACAAGGTCGTCGTTCCATACTTCTTCTGCAGGTATGGGTAATCAAAGCTGAAGAAGTCCATTGTGTTCAAGTCCATGATGTGAAAGAGCCGGTGTACGAGCTAACCGCCAACGCGCATATCGCATGCTTCATTTCTCAAGGAACCGGGGTCAAGGTAAGTGCTACTTTTCACACATACTTATTGATCTGATTGGCACGAGGACAAGGATAGTAGCCAACTCCCTATGCCATTTCAGGTATATAATTGGTCAGGGACTCCAAAGCATATAAATTTCAACAACAACAGAACGGCACGGTGCCTCGCCATGGCCGGGGGTAAGCTCTACTGTGGCTGTTCTGGATACAGCATCCAGGTACAACACTAGATATCTTTGCATTCTCGCAATTAACAAATCAACAGTCACAAATCTTCGAGCATGCTACAATGTCGTAGGAGGTGGACTTGGCAAAGTCGACATCGGGTACGTTCTACTCAGGGACTAGGAAGTTGCTTGGGAAGCAAACTATTCATTCCCTGCTTATTCACGATAGCCTTCTCTTCGCCGGCGGTTCATCCGTGGATGGAACAGCGGGAAAGGTACGACTTTCATTGCCCACCGTCCATTCATATAAAATTCGACTGATAAATGAGTTAAAACTTATGTTTTCTGAACTTGCGCATGGAAGGTATTCTCTCTGCCCAGTAAGGCCATAAGCGGGTCGCTCTCGACGGGGTTCGACATCCAACGGATGGCAGTGAGCAACGACTTCATATTCACGGCAACAAAATGCGGGATCATTGAGGTCTGGTTGAAAGAGAGAGTTGCGAGGGTCGCCTCCATCAAGATGGGCAGTGGAGGGAACACCGCCAAGATTACATCCTTGGCCGCGGACGCTGACGGAGGCATGCTTTTCGCTGGCTCCTCAGATGGCAAGATCCAGGTCCAAATTGAACTCAGATTCCAAAAACTATGGTTTAAGAAACTCAGAAGAAAAAATTGGGACCTCACTTATCAACAATGAATTCATCCTATGATGTTCTTCCTTCTCTATTTTGCAGGGTTGGACTCTCCTGGACTAGACACACTGCCAGCTATAGGAAGAAATATACAAACTATAGTGCAGATCATGCCAGCAGAAAAGAATAGAAATTTTGTATCTTGGTATATGCTTGGCAATCATGATTTTCCTTTATGTACGAAGCTGAATCGTATGTCCCTTGACATTACATTTGTATCAGCCTGATAACGTTGGACGTTAGCCGCAGTTACAGTTAAATGGTTCGCGGTTTTCAAGTGATACAAATAATTAATTTAGAGAAATTTTTTCAGATCGTGAACGATTTTTCTCGAGACGGACCTTAACCCAATTCAATCACATATATTTATTTTTCGCAACTTAACCTAATTCAATCGCATATATTTATTTTTCGCAAGGCAAATCTTAACCAATTCAATCTAGCAACTTAACCTAATTCAATCACATACATTTATTTTTCGCAAGGCAAATCTTAACCAATTCAATCTAGTATCACTTTGGTTCATGTATCACTTGGTAATCCACCGATTAATTCGCGGCTACCTATTTGAAAATCCGGAATTTGAGCAGCTGACTCTGGATTCTTACTTTGCAGCACGACCCAGGTCATGTAAATTCAGTTGGTCCGAATGTCTCAGCAGATTTGGTCATGACCAAATCATCCAAACAAGGCTCCTCATTGTCCGAGATAATATCATAGAATCGGACATTAAAGAAAAAGTTGAATCGAAAACCATTTTAAAGGACGATGTTTCGCTCAGGGCCAGGCATTTCGAGGCACTCAGAATGAAAAGGACTTAGTGATGTTAACAAAGGCTTTCACAGATCTTTCCGATCTCAAATCGCATTTGTTCTGCACTCCTCATCGTGCCCCAGTCCAGGCCAACGCGCCGTGGAGTACAATCGGATGAAAAAACGAAGAGAGGACAACGAAAGCAGAGACTGCACGGATGAAACCGAGGAAAACAAACAACAGCAGAGAGAAAAAGGAGGGGGATTTCGTAATGGATGAAGGAAGGAATCATCAGGAACATTGGATCATTATAACATCAGTGCTCGACACTGAGCGTGTCTCAGACGACCGTCGTGAGAAATTTGTAATCCAAACTCATCATCTGAATCCCCTCCATCATCACCATCACTACTACATAACCACACGCGAACACAAGAACACGGGCACCCACGAAGGCATCGAACACAGAGAGAAAGAGGACGCACGAAGGCTTCGAACACCGAGAGAGAAAGACAGGAAAGGAACGAAGGAGAAGGAGAAGGAGAAGGAGAGGGAGGAGAGCTTTGGAGGTGACGGGATGCAGAGGGCGTACTTATATGCATTCGGTCGTGGAGGATTAGGGTTTTCGTCCCCCGGAAATTACGGTTCTGCCCACCATGGGCCGTGCGTTCAGTTCCGGGCCGGCTCGATGTTGGGCCTCGGCCCGTCCCGGTTTTGGGCCCGGCCCGGGAAACGGTCTCTTGGACGCCAGGATCGGGGAGCGCTCCGTCGAGTCCCGCACTTCGCACCGACGCCAACCTCGCCCTTAAGTCCTCTCTCTCCGAGAGATCGCCGGAGATCGACGGACCGACGCTCCCGATCCCCCTAGTCCCACGGCGTCCGACCCGCCTCCGCCGCGCCGGTCATGGCCTCCGATGGTCTCCCTCCGTTCATCGCTGCTCAGCTCAATTACCTCGTCTACCACTGCCCTCTCGGCGTCAAGGTACCGGGCTCGCCTCGACTCGACTCGCGAAACCCTACCTTCTTCGTTTTTTCCGGTTTTTCGTCTTTTCAAGAGCGAGCGCCGGCGTCGTGTTGCAGGTCGAGAACGTGTGGTCCGGAAGCAAGAGCTACCCCGGGGTGCTCGATCGGTTCACCCTGTTGATTCCTTACTGCCTGGACTACATAAAGTGTCAGTCGCATCTCTTAGTGCTCTGCTTTTTATGGCATAATCAGTGTCCGATCTGTTTAGTTTGCGCGTTCCTCAAATGTCTGGACTACGCATATAGACACAATGATGTCGGAAGATTTTAGGTTGTTTATGTGAAGCACAGATTTTTGGTATTTCTCTATCATCTCGGCTGCATTAGATTTCGGCGATTGAGTGCAAAACTTGGTAATCTGAGATGATTCGTTGGTGTTTGTGTAGGGGATGTTCTGTACAATGCAGAGTTCCCCCTCTGTGCTCCGGATGTTATATTTGGGCCCGAAGATGAACATTTTCATCCGTTTCGGCTGAGGAGCAGGGAGGGAGGAAACGATATGGAGGGAGCTAAGAATAGCTTGTCTGATTGGAACCACAAAGACCCTACTCGGCTTTCTGCTCTCATTCAAGAACTGAGGCAAGTGTTCTCTCGAATTTGATGCGTCGTGGTTTGTGGATCTGAGTGCTCTAAACGGTTGAGAGTGGTTAACGGGAGAATGACTTTGCTAATTAGGGATGAGTACATGGCCTATCAGAGGAGACGTGCTGGAGAGGTTCATGATGATAGGCTGACATTCGAGATTAGCACTATTTTGTCTAGGGAGGTAAATCACTCTAGACACTCGAGATTTTGACACTTCCATTATATTATGAGAAGATGTGGACTAATCCTCATCTTCTTCTTGTGCATGATTCCCTTTTCTTTGCTACAGGGAATTGAAATGCATATGAGTTCTGGACTTGAAAAGGTATTTCTTGGAAGGATGCGTCTTGTATTCTCATTTAAGTTACAAGTGAGCAGTAGTATTGATATTTGAATAGCCTTCAATTATATTTCTGGTTATTGTGCCTTTGAATTTTAGCGTAGCCACAGGAGGTAAAGTTTGCAGTTCCACTGGTGGACATGAATATAAACAAAATGGTGCGTGGATGCCCTTGGAGACATCTCCAGAAAATACATTTACAGGTCTCCTCAAATTTTACGTTGAGAAGGTCTCTTTAATTCGTTGGCATGCATATGGCAATATGTGAAATTTTGATGGCTGCAGGTTGTGTATCCAGTTGGAAAGAAGTATGTATCTGCTGCTTCTGCCCCTCGTCTTAAATTAGTGTCTACTCCTGAATTGAAGGCTTTATTTTCGGTGGATGATGTCAAGCTTCCTTCATGGGTGGATGGGATGTACGTATACCTATGTGTTGCGTGGTTCATGATCCTATTTTTCTCGTAGAAAAGTACTTATTTTCAAGTGTTGCTTTCTCACGCCTTGATTTTCTCTTCCTGGAAGGTGCATGGCTGAATACCTTCCCCATCTCGAAGAATCTCTTCAAGGACAGGTTAGCTGCATAGTTACTTGTGACTGTTGATATCTTTTCGAATAACTATTATACTTAAGAAGGTTAATGGCTGAACTCTTCTCAGATTTTGGAAGCAGTTTCACTAATTGATACTAGGAGGCACTTTATTGAGGAATTAGCCCCTGTGTTTGGCAGACCAGTGGAAGCTGATCCGGTATGCATGATCAAATGTGTGCATGGGCAGATATGTCAATCATTATGACTAATTCCTTAATACTCATGGCTTATTTTGCCAGGTCTTTTGCAGAAAAGTAACGCTTCTGGTGGTCTCTGGCATATTTACCTTTCTGGTACCACTTATATTTCGCTACGTCTTCTTTATTTGAGAGTTTCATCGGACTAGAGGTTTGAGCTATTTTGCTTTAGGCAGTGTTCTCATAGTAGTAGCTATTGTAAGACTGGCGTTAAGATGCGTACGCTCAGATCCATCGAGGTACTAAATAAAAAATATTGAATTATGGCTCATCGGGAGAGTGCATGTTACTTGCTGCATTTCCTTCTGTCAATGATATCTAAGATGATAACTAAGCCACTTTGCACAAGGTCACGATTATTTTGTATCACTGCTTCTTATGACGGCAACTATCTCAAAAATTTATTGAACTTTCACTTCATATAGAGATAAGAGTAGTTCAGAAAACCAGGCAATGTTCTCTGTTGACTCTTCAACATGGACACGGATGATTTAAGTCCACAGAATTGTGAAAAAATGAGTTAGAATTTGAGAGGGTCCACTAGTAGATGTGGGGAGTTCTGGCAAAAGAAGCTTCACGTGAACTGCAAAATAAGTGTGTGAACAGTCCGAAGTTGGCATTGCCGATTGAGGAGAAAGGTGACTGCAATGAAAGTTTGGCATCTATGGAGTTGTTAAACACAAATTAGGATCTGAGAGAAATACTGGTAGATGTGTGAAGATCTGGCAAAAGAAGCTTAACAAGAGTTGCAAAATAAATGGTTGAACAGTCTGATGTAGACCTCAGTAGACTCATCAAATGGTTGGGTCAGGTCGGGCCAGGTTTGGGTCGGGTAAAATATGGTCTGACCCAAATAGACTCATTTAACCCATTTTGATCCATTTTTCATGCAATGCAAAGATAGCGACCCGTACCTATACCTGTACCCGACTTGTACCCAACCCATACACGACCTAATTCATATTGTTAAAACACTTTCATATTTAACCCAATCTAGAAAAACTCATATCCAAACTGAGATGAGAGTATGGAGTGAGCGAGCACGAAATCGAGTGAGGGCGACGGAGAATGAAGAGGAGAGTGAGGGCGAGAGAAAATGAAGAGGGAGTCATAGAGGTGGATTGGGTCTAAGTAGTTGTAAACCCATTTATGACCCATTTAACACCCATATTATGTTTAAACCCATTTATGACTCATTTAACACTCATATTATGTTTAAACCTATTCATGACCCTTTGGATGCATATAACTAACTCATTAAATGACTCAGCCCATCATATATGGGTTAAAAAATGGGTCTATGACCCATTTTAACAGGTGTAGACCTCAGCGACTAAGGTGAAAGGTGACTGCACCAAAAGTTCCATTCTTTGACTTCGCCCATATGATCTCTTCATACAAAACACATGACTTCAAGATAATGGAGTCATGGTTATAATTCTTTCTCCATAAACAGGGCTCTAATGAATAATTTTCCCACATCATTCTTCTTTTCCTACTCTTCTGTATCTTCAGTACCCAGAGCAATTGTATATTAGTTAAAATAGCTGTCGAGTGTCCATAGTATAGTGATTTTAAGCTATTGGCTGGTAATGGCCAGTCTGCAGTTCTTAGACATTGCACGCAGAATAGCAATTGGCTTTTAAAGATAGGACTGGCAGATGAATGCTGAGATGTTAAAGCAATGAAACTAGATGGTCACAGCTGGGGGAATGCATGTTCAGTGGTCAAACTGATTGGCTGTCCTCATGTCATTGATAGAATTGGTGACGATAAAGTATGGGCTGCTGAATGTTAGGATGGTCATCAGCAGAGGTGATGGTGTGCTAGTTGAATATCTGGAACTAAGATATGAGGACCGGCCTTCAAGTAGTGGTAGGTTGAGCATGTTTGCTGATGTCTAGGCTGCTGACCTATTACTAGTTCAGGTGAAGACATGGTAGATTTCACCTGGAAGGATCCGTGCATGAAGTATTGTAATGCAGTTAATCAATGAACAGATTAGGTCATACTGGCGATACTATTTGAGTAGTATTTGGTGATGAAGCTTCAATTTCCATGTTCTGTTCCAATAATAAGTGGGCTTTGCTCACATATATAACAAAGAAGCACACCCTTAATCTATGAACTTTTGCTATGAAATTTGCCTGACATTCTAGCTCTCTTTCTGAAAACATTCTGGCTCTGCATGCCTTCTGTCTATAATATTCAAAACTTCTAAAAGTTGTATTCCTCTAGGTGCACCTTTTCATTCCAACACAATTTCCTAAACAACAACCAGCTCTGATGCTACAGAGTTCTCAGGTAAGTTATTCTTTAATGTATATTGGCTTTGGTTTATGTGATAAGTACATGCGTATGTTCTGGAGAGTGGCGGGCAACAGGAAGTTCATAAACATTTTTTAAGCTTCATGCTTTTGACTCCCATTAATGCATGAAAGGAAAAGCTTTCAATATTGCAATAACTGCGAGTATTTCAGATTCTTCAAACAGAACTTGACAAGCACGAACACGTGGCCTTTGGTTCAGATAGTTCAAACCCCCTGATTCTCTCTCTCTCACACGCGTGCACACGCATACACTTGCACATTTGGCAGAGTCTATTACTTTGATCGGATTTAATATTTAGGAAGAGGTTTCTTTTCCCATTTCTGTTGTGGATGTACAGAATGCTTCCTAATGGAAACTTGTTTGCTAGCTAAAATACTTACATTGGTTGCAGCACTTTAACTCCCAAGGTGCACCAATCAAGTCATTACTTCTGACCGATTACCCATGGAGTCCGAGATGGGAAGCATCGCAGATGGCTGAGAGGATACTGTGAGTTTCTTGAACTGTCGAGTTCTTTCTGGGTGAACTTTCTACCCGATTTTGCTAATCCAAGTCCCGATTATCATAGTGAATTCTTGGTGGACGAGTCTTTGAACTTCAAGAGATACTGCAACGAGGCGCAACAACAAACATAGCACAATCTTCTGGAATGCTGGTTCACCTCGTGGTCAGTCTGTACCTATTAAAATTGTCTGATTCGGCTCCGTTTGAACTCTCTGTTTCTGTGAATAACGACACTATATTTCTGCGGATCTCGAACTGCATCTGAAATCATTTTGTCCTGGCATTTCACTGAAGATCCATATCATGTTATCGGATAGTGTATGAGATGATGGGATCTTGAGATCCCTTGCGGGTGATATATGATTAATCCTTCTTTTGCAATCTTTCGCATGGAGGATCTCTGCTACGCAGTTCCTGCGAGCTCTCTGTTCTTGAGAGAACAAACTACATCGCATGTGCATCAAACGTGCGAGGTTTATTAGGCTGTAGCGGTTGGGCCAATCAACATGTCTCGTTCGCTAAGGCTCAATCACTTTTAAACTCTTCAGGAGTGTAAAATTTAACTTCTCTCTCTCGCTCCCTCAATGTTTAATCGAACGATCCAGCTTTGGTATATAAAGTTTAGCACTTGAGGATTAACCGACGACTACATGAAAAGAGGAGTACGAAGAACACACGAAGAACGAACGTATAAAAACAATGCTTGGGTTAAACTGATTTCTTTACTTCCAAACAGGAAGATTTCCTGCTTCTAACTTCTGTGGAAGCTTTGCATACATATATTTATACATATTTCTTGAGTTACTGTCTATGGCTTCGCTTGAACATATTGACATGAAATCAAACGAATCGTAGTCTTCACATTATCATCTGCCCCCACGATGGGACAACCCACCTGGACCTACTCTTCAAGCTCTTTCATAAGCAACATTTTGAATGCGAGATCCACAACATCCAATAGCAGTAGATTAGATCGTATGGCTTCTTTCGCCCTGCGGTGCACGTGATGTTATGGGGCATAAGATCAAGCGAAAATCCGGGAGTTCCACCATCACGGCGATCTCGTGCAATTATTATTAATTTGCCTGAAATGCAACCTGATGGACTGCTACCATCTCGTCCGCACATGCATCCCACATGCATTTGCCTTGTCCATATGCTCCCACCTCCCTCTCTCTCTCTCTCTCTCTCTGTCTCTCTCTCTCTCATTCATGAAATACCATCATGCGGATCTGGAGTAATTTTTTACGTGCAAATTGGTTACAAGTCCAATGTACACGAGCCATCGATCTCATGGGTCTCGTGTAGATCTAACCGGAGGTGGATCACCTGTATCTCGGTGATAACTTTTTTGACATGACACGAAATGAGAACATAGATTAGTGTTAGGTCTACCATGGGTGCGAAAACATATTTATATCTTTTCCCATTCAATGAGTAACGCTCGCAGTCGGAGCCAGCTTCGCAAGTAAATCGTTCGAGGGTCGTAAGAAATACACTACACAGCGGTAATGGACCTGATCCCGAGTCCCGAAAAATATACCCTGCTCAAGTGCTCATCATCAAACGTTTCGAGGACCCGGAATTAGGATCCATCTCGACCGTCGGATTCTCGACGGGACGGGTATAACCGCTGTGATCCAACGGATCTGGAAGCCGTATGCAATCCTCCCTCTGTTATTCTCATTTTAACCGCCTCTGTCTCTCTCTCTCTCTCTCTCTCTCTCTCTCTCTGCATATAACTGCCGTCGGACCGACAAGAACACACGCAGAGCAGAACAGAGCAACCCGCATCTCCATCGCCATCGAAAGCCCGCAAACCGAACAAAGCTTCTCCCGATCCCCGAGCCAAATCCACCCGCTCCGAAGGAGAAGAAGAAGGAAGAAGAAGAGGAAGGAAGGAGAAGATGAGGGAGATCCTGCACATCCAGGGGGGCCAATGCGGGAACCAGATCGGGTCCAAGTTCTGGGAGGTCATCTGCGACGAGCACGGCGTCGACCCCACCGGCAAGTTCACCGGCGACGCCTCCTCCGACCTCCAGCTCGAGCGCATCAACGTCTACTACAACGAGGCCACCGGCGGCCGCTACGTCCCCCGCGCCGTCCTCATGGACCTCGAGCCCGGCACCATGGACAGCATCCGCTCCGGCCCCTACGGCCAGATCTTCCGCCCCGACAACTTCGTCTTCGGCCAGTCCGGCGCCGGCAACAACTGGGCCAAGGGCCACTACACCGAGGGCGCCGAGCTCATCGACGCCGTCCTCGACGTCGTCCGCAAGGAGGCCGAGAACTGCGACTGCTTGCAAGGTATAATCTTATTTCCTCGTCGCCCGTATATGCATTGTTCCCGTGCGTGTTTGCTTGAGATCTGATCATCTGATCAGTTTGAGCATTCCCCGAAATTTGATCTTTGCAATGCCGGTTTCGGTCGTGCGCATTGGATCGGATCTCGCGTTGTGTTCGAATATATTCATGTGAGTTAAGGAGATGTGCTGAACAACCAACCCATTTGGTGATCTCTGTCCATCGTAACTTCTCATTTCATCCATATTCACGATTCAATCGACCACCATCATACTTCCAATTCATCTTCCGTGTAATGCATTCTCAGTGTAGGATTGAAGCCTTCGCATTATGTTTGATCTGCATGTAGTCCTCCTCGAATAGTTTGTCCTACATTCTTTAGATTTCAATCTCGGGTTTTGCTTAGGATTGATTGCAATATGGCCCTGTTGGTGAAATGGGATAAGACCCGCGATTCGATTGGCTCGCTGAATCTTTAGGACAGAAACGAGAGCGAGACAGCTAATGCTTGAGTGATGATAGTAGCAGAGTCGTCGTTGTCAAGCTCTGCTCTGCAGTCGTTTCAAGGGTCATGATGCACCAGAGGCTAGCACCGACATCAGGCCTTAGGCAATAATTGCCCATCTTTATTGAATGAGACAAACTTTCCTTTCTGGCGTTTCCTTTTAAGCAAGTATTATTAATACTCATCATGACTGTTGAATAATGGTCATTTATGTAAAGTAAATAATGGGGATTAGCCTTTGGGCCCTGGTGGGGAAAAAAATGGGAGCTTGAACTTTATAGTACTGGGTCGATGATGAGGCTTCTTGGTACATGGTGGTGGGCCTGTCTTTTGTCTCTCCTCTTGTGCTTGTTTGTTCATGCTTTTTTCCATGACTGGAGACTCACATGCACTATAATAAACCCAGAAAGACAGCTACTTGTCTCCTCCCCAGAGAGAAGGATGACTGGGATGGCCCATCTTCCTGTTGTGCCGACGAAAATCTGGTTAAGAAGCACTTCTATCAGACAAGGCATGCATATCAAATTCTACGCGTAAAGTCAAATAATTTATAATTTGCTTAGGCACGGAAATAAAAACCCTTTTGATCTTCCTGTTTTCCTATCATACGCCCAACTCTTTTGGGATGCTTATCGGCTTCAGTCAATGGCATTCCAGCTTCTGAGGCTTTTCTTTCACTTTGCTAAGATGTTGATGACGACGATACTTGATATGGGACAAGCTAATATATGAGCCGAATCTGATCACCAGAAAAATAAAGCAACTGCTCTCTTAGGTACTTAAGTTAGAACCTGGCATTTTGGTTAGCCTGGAGACTAGATTTGTAGATTTCCATTGAATCAAAATACAGTTTTCAATGTTTGGAGCTACATGTTAGTCCTTAGTGAGCATTAAGTGTATTGTGAATAGACAATACAAGACTGGAACTTTGTTATAGTGATAACAAACGAAGCTTATGATCACACCTTGCTTTTTGATGCAAATAGTCTGTCATGGCTATATTTCTCAGTACTTCCCACTCCTAGTTTTTCATTGCTAATCGACACGATTGGGAAACGCTGATGGTGTCGCAGTTAGCCTTTGTGGAAAAGACATTTCTAAATCTTCGAATTCTTTAGAGTTGCTTTCTAGAATTTATTTATTCATTGGTGATCTGGATCTGCATGTTTTTTTAGTGCATCTCTCCTTGTTCAAGTACATTTCTGAATCTTATAATGTGTTTGTTTTTTGCAAACATTAAGTTGTGTAAGAATGTAACCATTTTATCTGTTCAAATTTCACTAGTTCTTATCCCATGGTAGGTGAGAATTCACATTAATCCAATCTGTCTTTTGAAGCCGGAACTGGCACGATAGATCTCTCTCTTTTGATGGATACTATCCGTGATGCTCCAACCGTAGTGGCTGAGTGCAAATGGTGGAGTTTTTACGCAGATTCTAAATTCTTTGCCGGGGGTTAAACTCATTATTTATTTTTCTTTCCCTCTATCAGGTTTCCAAGTATGTCACTCACTAGGAGGAGGCACAGGTTCGGGTATGGGAACTCTCCTGATTTCAAAAATCAGAGAGGAGTATCCCGACAGGATGATGCTTACATTCTCTGTCTTCCCTTCCCCAAAGGTGTCTGACACAGTCGTGGAACCATACAATGCCACCCTCTCAGTGCATCAGTTGGTCGAGAATGCAGATGAATGCATGGTTCTCGACAACGAAGCACTCTATGACATTTGCTTCAGGACCTTAAAGCTTAGCACTCCAAGCTGTGAGTTATATTTGAATTATCTGTGCAAACTGAAAAATATCGGCTCCTATGGTTCTAACATTTGCTTTCTGAATTCTGTGTCACAGTTGGAGACCTAAATCACTTGATCTCTGCCACCATGAGTGGCGTGACATGCTGCCTGAGGTTCCCTGGCCAACTGAACTCTGATCTCCGCAAATTGGCTGTGAACTTGATTCCATTCCCACGCCTTCACTTCTTTATGGTCGGCTTTGCTCCGCTCACATCTCGTGGCTCTCAGCAGTATATCTCCCTCACTGTTCCTGAGCTGACTCAGCAAATGTGGGATGCCAAGAACATGATGTGCGCAGCCGACCCCCGCCATGGCCGATACCTCACGGCCTCTGCAATGTTCAGGGGGAAGATGAGCACGAAAGAGGTGGACGAACAGATGATCAATGTGCAGAACAAGAACTCATCCTACTTCGTGGAGTGGATCCCTAACAATGTGAAGTCCAGCGTGTGCGACATCCCACCAAAGGGTCTGAAGATGGCGTCCACATTTGTGGGGAACTCCACGTCGATTCAGGAAATGTTCAGGAGAGTGAGTGAGCAATTCACTGCCATGTTCAGGCGCAAGGCATTTTTGCACTGGTACACTGGTGAAGGGATGGACGAGATGGAGTTCACTGAGGCAGAGAGCAACATGAACGATCTCGTGGCCGAGTATCAACAATATCAGGATGCCACTGCTGACGATGAGGCAGAGTACGAAGAGGGAGAAGAGGAGGCCTACGAGAGCTGATGTTTCAGAAGTTCTTCAATCATTTCTACTTGAATTGAGTTTTGTACATGGATCTATTTCCTTTATTTGTTGCTGTTGCTTATGTCCGTGTCAGTCTAAATTCTTTCACCATGTTGTTTCCCAAGACTGTGGAGTTCCTGGTTAATCGTTCTGTGTTTGTTATTTGAATTAAGCATTCCGGACTAGAAAGGCCACCAATTGTTCTTGTATTTTCACTTGCAGGTGATTAAAGCCGAGTACGCGTTTGAGATAATCTTGATACAAGTTCGGAAAGCAGTTGCTTGCACATATGTTTTATGGCCGTTACTGAGATTCCGGCGTCGAGTCGATCCTGCAGAATTTCGTTTTAACGCATTCTGAAACCTATACTCAATATGTTAGCCAACAGAAACCGAGCTTCTATAACAATCCTCACTCTCAAACACAAATTGCCATATGAGCTATTATTTCACTGTCGCAAGCAAGGAAATATTGGCAGAAATATGGTTGAGAGAGAGAGACAGGAAAAGCTCCTGATTCGCCAATATCGATCTATGATTTTACCATCTATGTATCAGTAGTTCACGAAATGCTCATCAGTCATCACTTCAGATCTTACCAATACAATATGAACTACTTAGCACATAAACAATAGCTCACTGACTAAAGCTGAATTGAAGAACTTGTTTTGTCGAAAATCAATTTCCTTCAATGCAAATGGAGATCTGTGAACTAAAATTTCAAGGAACTTCCCAATGAAAGAAATCACTGAAGAGCTAGATCTGTCCGAAGTATCCATGGAATCAATAAGGTAACGTCGGATCAAGCTCCATAATAAAAGATGATAAACGCAGCTAAGACCGAAAGAACTAATTACCCACTCTCTGTCTCTTTGTCCTAGAAATAACAAAGTCGTCATCTGAATCTTCGCTGTCTTCATCCTTGCGCTTCTTGGGCTGCTTCGACAATACTTTGACATCCGTTGTCTTCTTTTTGGAAGACACCGAAGAGGACAGATCTTTCTTCTTGATGGACACGGTTTGAGAGCTTCTCTTAACTGATACAGCAGATTTTGCTGGGGAACTGAGTTTTTGACCTTGGCTCTTTCTCTGTTTTTTCTCAAAAACCTTCTTTGCCTCTTCTTTGGGTAGCAACCCAGACTCCATCATCCTGCAATGACCAGAATTATCCTTCTCGTAAAATTGGACATAAAAAATTGTTAAGTGTGCAAACACAGAAAATGAGAATCCATGCGTACAAAAGATCTGATACATTCATCGATCCTTTTGATACCACCATATATACGATCCTCTGAAGTAAGCTAGACTATCAATGCTTTACTGCATGAAAAGACAGCAAGGCATATCGCACTCATGAGCAGGAGCATTGAATATCTACCAGGCAACAGCACATAAACTGCAATGCAGTATCGGTCCTCCGAGTGCATAACTGGAGGTATGTCATGCCAAAATGTGCAAAATAGCTTGCGCTTATTAGAAATATGCTAGACTATCAAGTACTCAAATAACCTCAGACTATCCGGTATACTTATGTGAGCTGACTTTCTCAATTTCTGTTGTGCAAGGGGTAACATTGGGTAAGTCTCTCAAAAAGCCAACAGCAAAGGTACCATTAATTCATCAAGAAACAATCATCTTTATCCCTATCGATTTGGGTATCACTAGGAAATTTACACTAAAGGAGCCACTGATGCTCTCATCACAGCCCATTATTTCTAACTAGATGAGCGGCACTTCTTACAGAATTACACCTAATCATGGTCATTTCCTCATTTTCAAGGTCCTCATTGAAGGCCAGCAACTTTGCGTAGCCAGAATAAACAGAACAGGCGTGATCTCTCAGACAGGATAAACAGAACTGGCCAGTACCACAGTACTGCCAAATCCAATTGACGTTGCCTATTGGCAATTCTCTCTTGTCAATTAGAACCATACTGCAAAAGCACAGTTATTTCGATTACACCATCATGAAGCCACATATATGGACAAGCTAGATTCACACCCAAACTTGCCAATCACAGTCAACTCTATTTTACTTCATACAAACAAACATATGGAATAGAAATTCACCAGAATTGCGCCATCTCACTGCGGGGAATTTGCTGGTGCAGCGACTCATAGAAAATCCTCAGTGGGTCTCTCTGCAAATCCAGATAACAATGTGAACTTCAACCATCATCTGGGAAAATCCACAGTTAACTTCATCACACAATACGAACGAGATTCATATAAGGACGAAACAGCCATACTTCTTCAGGAGGATCCCGCTTCTGGCCAGGCAAATCGTAGACCTTCTTCTCCCTCTTCTTCCCAGGTTCCACCTTCGACACAGCCGTGCTCTTCTTCCGCTTTACTTCAACTTTAACTGTCTTAACATCCTCTTGCTTGACTTTCTTCTTCACATTCACTTCCTTCAACCCAGAAAAAAGAAGAAAAACAACCAACTACTAAACCAATCTAACATTTGCCTTTTATCAGCACCACGCTCTAGAACAGAAAAGAGACCAATTTATCCTCTTTCTCTCTCCTTATTCAATTGCAATGATTCAGCAAGCAAACCAACCCATTAAAAAAAATCATCTTTTGAGAGCAACCCAGACCCCAGAACAAACACATACCTTGCCAAGCTTGACACTTGCCAGCTTCCTCGAAATGGGCTTGTCGTCGTCGTCGTCGTCTTCTTCCACCTTCTCTTCCTTCTTCACCTTAACCACCCTAGACCCGGGACCCGAGACCGAGGCCGAGACGGAACCGGACTTCTGGGGCCCCTTCTTCTTGTCGGAGCCGTCGTTGGATCCCCCGGCCTCCTCCTTCTTCGCCTTCACTTCCCTGGGGCGAGGCCTGGGAGAAGCGGCGAGGGCGGCATTGAGGGCTTTGCTCTTCCTGTCCTTGAGGATGGAGCCCAAGCTCATCCCGTCCTCGTCCTCGTCCTTCGCCGCGGCCGCCGCCGCCGCCGCCGCGTCCTGCGGCGGCATCGTGTCTTCTTTACTTAGTTCTTGCTGTTTCGCGGGGGACGAACGAAGCAAAAATCAAGATGGGAACAACGCTTTTTGCCAAAGAAGGATGCGGTGAGCTTCGGAAGCGGAGATTGAGGGAACTCCGACAAGGGAGGGCCGAGGTCCAGATACGCTGCCGTTTCGCCGGTTCTCTTCTCTTTCTTCCCCCTTTGTACAAAGTTGAAGTTTTCCTTTTTTTTTTTTTTCCTTTTTCTTTATCTCAAGGTGACCAAGCGAAAAAGTAGACCATCAAACGGGTAGGTCGGTTTAGGCCGGATCGAAAATGGTACGGCCTAAATAGACCCATTTAACATATTTTGATCCATTTCGATGCAAGCAAATGTAGTGACTCTTACCCAACCCATTTTTTGATTGGGTTAAATTTATAATTTAATTAAATCAACAAAAACTTACACCTAAATTGAGGTAGCGTGTAGTGAGTGAGCACAAGATCGAATAAAAGTGAGACAAAATGAAAAGAGATTCATATACGTGAGTTGGATCTAAGTAAATTGTATACCCATTTAACACTAATAATATTTGAGCCAAAAAAAACACCCATAGTATGTTTAAACACATTTATGGCTCAGGTACTGAATATAATTAACCCATATAATAACTCATCCCATCATATATGAGTTAAAAAATTAGTTTATAACCCATTTTGACAGTGTTCTCGCTTTTTTCACCCTTTCTTTTTTAACTTCTAACACCCCCTACCACCTTGAATTGATCAAATTACCTCTTGTGAGTCTCACTCTTAATTTAAGATTATTTCTTACCATTTTTCTTCGTTTTCTTTGGTTTCAAAATACTAAAAGATGAATTTATCATGTTCAACTCAAACAACAAAGAATAAGGTCGAATGTGGGGCATACTCTTGATTTAAAATTATTTCCTACAATTCTTCTTCTTTTTTGTTTTTCTCCCATCAGGGATGAAATTGGCGTCTTTCTTTTCCAAAAAATAATTTATATGGTAGATAATTAACAAGTTATTGTGTTAATGAGTTGTATAGTTCTTTTCTTTTACTAGAAACCAATATTCTAAAAATAAACAAAGTACAAGTAAAAGATTTGACCCAAAAAAAGAAGTACAAGTAAGAGTGAAAAGAATAATTAATCAGTTTTAATGAATGCATTTGGTTCAATTACAATTTTAATATGTATGATTACATTATAATCTGCGTATTTTGATTGCTTGACTTTCGTTTTATTCATTGAATCTAATATTCCAACCTTTCTTTATTTTTCATGCCATCATTGCATGATTTTTTTCAAAAGATATTTTCAAGGAATTTAAAAAAATGGCAAAATTAACTACATTAAAAATTCTAAACATCCAATATCATCATGCAAATTCAAAAGAAAATGCTTCTCAAAACATTATATAAAATATTTTTTTTGCCTTGATTACATGGAATAATTAGCCGTCGACAAAAAAAAATTATAACAATTGTGATTGTATTACGAGATAATCCATTCAAACGATTTGCAAATTGTCAATTCCAAACGTATCAGAATTTCTAAAGAAAGAATAGAAAAAAAGATAAGAAATAATAATTAAATATGGGACCTACAGGAGAAACTGTGGTCAATTTAAAGTGATAAGAAGCGTTCGAAGTTAAAAAAGGGGTGGAAAAATCGCGAGCCTTCGACAGATCTATGAAAAAGGTCCGGAAACTGGAAAGAGAGAGAGAGACGAGGATTTTCAATTAGATTGGACGGCGATGTGTGCCCTGAACGAGTTGGGCCTGTCCAATGGGCCTGATCGCCTTGTTGGCTTGGGCCCATTCATTCATCTATCTCTCTCTCATGTAATGTCATTCTTGTAGTTTTAATAAATTCGAGGTTATGCTCGATGGTTTCATATTTGCTCGGTTTTATGCTTAATTTAGTTCCCATCATTTTATGGGTTTTTCTTTACTTTTAAAGGTATCGTTGGTTAAAAGATAAAACTCCGCCTCTTATTTGCCATAACTTTCATTGCAACTTGAGACCCTGAGAAACCTCAAACTTTAGATTTAGCTTCAATTATATCCTAAACTTTTATTTTATCTCATAAAAGACCTCCAACTTTAATTCCATTTTCAATTCTACCATCACAACCTTTTACTTGAGTCTCATATTTACCCTCGTTAACCCTCTATCTAAAATCGTCCTTAGTGATTTACGTGGTATTGTCACGTCATTGCTCTAGTTTTTCCCCAAATGTGAAATATAAGAAGACATCTTTTGAAGATGAATTTCCACGTCAACTCAAACACTGTCTTCTTGTATTTGAAATTTGGGTAAAAATTAAAGCAATTAGGGTTGGCTTTCTTCATTTGCTCTTCCATCTCGCTCGGGAATCTTCGATTTTGCGCTCAATCCCGACCACACTAAAAAAATAAAAAAGGAAAAGAGAAAAAAATGTAAAAAAGAAAAAAAAGAAATGAAAAAGAAAAAAATAATAATAAAAATTCGGAAGATATTAAAATATTATTAAAAATTATCATCGTAACCCCTACAATCTCTTAATCATCTCTCTTTATAGACTTCCTAAATGCTATTGAGTGTGTGGTTGAAAAAAGTAAACATAGTCAATATGTTGTACTATAGAGCGTGATTTAATTTTTCACTAAGTTGTACTTGATCATAAGTTATTTTCTCCGTTTTACTTCTTCATTATGGCAATATGCATTTGACACGACGAAATCTGATGGCCGTTATGTATATATATCAGTTAAAATAGGAAACACTTTTTTTTTTGCTAGAAATAAAATAGGAAACACTTGATTCTAAAGTAATGTGAAGATATCTTGGTTTATCCTATTGGTCCATCTTGAGAAAATGTTATATGAATAAACTATAAATTTTGGCAGAATAAAATCAAAGGGCTGAAAAAATCAAGTAAAAGTTTTGGTTTTTTGTGTCTGCTACTGAATTTTCTGTTCACAGCTTATCTTATACATCCTCAGTAAATTGTGCGGCTGACAAATTCTGAATTGGGTCGTGAGGATCCAATAATTTGATGCAGGAAAAGGCACATCACCATCACCCCTCTAAGTCATCGCTGAAGAAGAGATACCTTCATAATCTATCCAAAAACAGCCACAGTTTGCCGACAAATACATAGCTTTTTGTACAGTTCCAAACGCACCCAATGCAGTGCATGCCTTTTAGCTTTGATTGAGATGGGTAGTGACAAAGGGACAAAACAATTGGGAGGTCATCCCAAGCCATTCATCGGACAAACCGAGATAATCCCTCTGGGGTCACCGTCCCCTCCATATTAGGCCATCGCATGTACAATGCTGCTCATGGTATAGGCAAGTTTCTTTCATTCTGTTTCTTAGCTTTTAGTGGGTGATCAACCGTTCAAAAGGACGATTTTGTTGGTTCCTCATTGCCCGGTGTGCACCATCGTCATTGATTCAAATTGGTACGTAACGCGCTCATGTTTATGCCAATGAGTGAGTAAAGTAATCCCCGTTGTGCAGTAGTTATGCCTAGTAGGCACCGAGAGATTGGTAGTTGAAATTGAACAATCATTTCAATCTGTTTCTGCTAAATCGCCTAGCAGCATCTAATTGCTGTTTTCTGCTGCGTAAATGGTGTAGCGTCCAAATATTCAGCGTTGGTAGTGCATGAATTATGATTCTGGGATTCTGCTTCAAGTTCGAGGGGGATAACTCCACCACATTGACTGTAAAGTTGTTTGTTGCGTGTCGATAAATGCAGGTTTTAGAAGCCTTAAGTTGTTTCTTGATCGCTATTGAGAGAAATCAAGGATGTCGTCGATGGCCACGGACGTGTCGCTGAACGGAAGCATGAGAAGTCACGACACCGCCAACTCAATCTTTGAGATTGACGACTCCGATATTTTGAAGTTAATGGACAGGCCAAGGCCGATAAATGTAGAGAAAAACAGATCGTTTGATGAGAAGTCATACTGTGAGATGTCGATCACTCTATCGCCTCGTCCTTCTTATAGGATGGGTGACAACTTTCGCATGCTGGAACATCTTGAGTATGTATACTCTCCAGGAAGAAGGTCGGGCTTTAACACTCCGAGATCCGAGAGTTACTACGAGGCGCATCCTATGATTGCTGATGCATGGGAAGCCCTGAGAAGGTCTGTGGTTCGCTTCCGGGGGCAACCTGTTGGGACTATTGCCGCTCTGGATCATTCTACGGAAGAACTGAACTATGATCAGGTGAATGTGCTCTTCTCTGTTCTTAAATTGTTAGTTTCACTAAGAAGTCAAAACGATGAAATCAGTGGAGTTCTAATGTGGATCCACAAATACATATTCATAAGCTCATCTGCCATCATATTTTAAATACCTGATATTATTGGCAAAAAAGTTGCAGATTGTGGGCGTAATGCCTATTGACATGTCCTTATTTTGTCTCATTAATTTGAACAATTCAAAAGCAGTATGAATTTGAATTACATCGACATGTTCTACCGCAATGCCTGATCCTACTCGTCTTTTACTTATGATCAAGCCTTCCTTAGAATATGAGCATGAAAAAAATATCGGCTTCGTCTACTTGGCAGGTCTTTGTTAGAGACTTTGTCCCCAGCGCGTTGGCGTTTCTGATGAATGGCGAGACGGAAATAGTGAAGGAATTCCTTCTCAAAACACTTCTCCTCCAATCACAAGAGAAGATGGTCGACCAGTTCAAGCTGGGGGAAGGGGTAATGCCCGCGAGCTTCAAGGTGATCCATCACCCGGTGAGGAATTACGAGACCTTGACTGCAGACTTTGGCGAGAGCGCAATAGGGAGAGTAGCCCCGGTGGACTCGGGATTCTGGTGGATCATACTGCTCCGTGCGTATACCAAGTCCACAGGCAATTCATCCTTGGCAGATTTGCCCGAGTGCCAAAGGGGCATGCGCCTTATCCTGAGCTTATGTCTCTCGGAAGGCTTCGACACGTTCCCGACGCTGCTCTGCGCAGATGGATGCTGCATGATTGACAGGAGAATGGTTGGTTTATTGCATTTTCCCTTTGTTCAAATGAGGTTATGTTTACAGATAGCTAGTATGTTTGTTGAAGACACGAACTATTGGATCGTCCTTATTATGACCCGGTTTTGCTCATTCTTTCTCTGCAATGTTAGGGTGTGTATGGGTATCCGATTGAGATCCAGGCCCTCTTTTTTATGGCGCTCCGATGTGCCCTGGCCTTGCTTAAGCAAGACGGTGAGGGCAAGGACTTTGTGGAGAAGATTGTGCAGCGCCTCCACGCATTGAGCTACCACATGAGGAACTATTTCTGGCTGGACCTGAAGCAGCTCAATGACATATACCGGTACAAGACCGAGGAGTATTCTCACACGGCAGTCAACAAGTTCAACGTGATGCCTGCTTCTCTTCCCGATTGGGTGTTTGATTTCATGCCGAGACGCGGCGGTTACTTCATCGGGAACGTGAGCCCAGCGAAGATGGACTTTCGGTGGTTCTGTTTGGGCAACTGCGTGGCCATCTTGTCGTCCCTGGCGACCCCTGAACAGTCTGCAGCCATAATGGATCTGATAGAAGAACGCTGGGAAGAGCTGGTCGGTGAGATGCCGCTGAAGATATGCTATCCGGCGATAGAAAACCACGAATGGAGGATCGTCACGGGATGCGACCCGAAGAATACTCGGTGGAGCTATCATAATGGAGGGTCCTGGCCAAGTGAGTGCGCTCATAGTTTCTCTAATGCCCAAAGAACTACAAAATAGCGCTAGAATGGAGGGAGAAGACCACATAGATGCTTTAACAAACTATCCTTCTTTCACAACACTCGTGACTTGCGACAAACAAAACTCATCAGCTATTTCTTGACATTCTCAATTATGCCTTCAGATGGGTTTATTTCCTAATGGTTTGGTGCAGTGCTTCTCTGGCTCCTCACGGCGGCATGCATCAAGACTGGGCGCCCGCAAATAGCGAGGCGCGCCATCGAACTCATCGAGAGCCGGTTGTCAAAGGACCACTGGCCCGAGTACTACGACGGGAAGCTCGGCAGGTACGTCGGGAAGCAGGCCCGGAAGTTCCAGACCTGGTCCATCGCCGGTTACCTGGTGGCCAAGATGATGTTCGAGGACCCGTCTCATCTGGGAATGGTCTCGCTCGAGGAAGACAAACAGATGAAGCCCCTACTAAAGAGATCTGCTTCATGGTCCTGTTAACCACACATATGTTCCCTCCAAAACTCTAGGAGCTTTATAACGCAGCTTATTCATAGTATGAATTCGTGAACATTTGTGAAGATTGATGCAAGCGCAACGCGAACGTACACATTTTTCAGATTCAATATTGGGTTGGCAAATTGTTCTGGCGACAATAATGGAGATGGGTTATACTTTACCATATGTAAATGCCATCACATGAAATGGACCAGGTCTCAGTTATCATCTGTTCCTCCTCATTCACTGGATCACTGCATCGCCACGAGCACTGCCTGAGGCAAGTTGCTGAGGCTTCTGTGTTCTGTCAGTGATGAGATTAAAGCTCGGGGTCCGGTTTAGGAAATAATTTCTTCTTGAATCTTCAAGTTATCACGATACGGCGGGCATTTGAACATGGTCTACTTGCTTAAATGTCCGTTTGCAATCTACCACATCATCCGATATACTAAGCACTTTGTGGGTCATTCGACATTACCGCATTTAGTCATTGTTAACCAAATCAGAGTGTACTGCCAACACACTCTCTATCACTGCCTTTATGCCAAACCCGTCAATCCCGTATCACTTATGTGCAGATCTTTCTATTGATCGGGAGAAAATTGTGGGATCACGCGAGCCCCCAAAATGAACATCCTCATACAGTTTTTTTGACTGCGCCGAGTCAGAAATTTCCGATCAAAATTGACCGAACGGACTGAATTAGCACAAAAACAATAACTTTAGGACTTAATTGATCAAAAAAAAAAGTGCAGGACTGAATTGACTTAATTGTAATAGGTTTATGGCATTTTTTTATTATTCTTCCCGCTAAACCATGTCACTAAAGTACAAATCTTTCCAATTCATCGAGAAAAAATTGTGAGGACATGCGACCCCCAAAATAAACATCCCTTTTCAGGTCGCTCGATTGATTATTCCATGCTATTGATGATTCGAATTTCCAAACATTACTTTATTTACTAAAGATTCACAAAGATCTGGTCCCTCATTACCAGTGGGATATGACATCAGAACAGTGCAGTCCGTGAGAAGGTGGGGTGTGGGGGGGGGGGGGTGAACAGCAAATACCAATTTCGAGATTTTGGTGGCGCCACCGGTAAAGGTGCATCCACTGGTGGTTGACCAGCCCCACAACCCCAACCAACACGCGTCAGCCCCTAGCGACTCCACCACGCCTTCCCCCCGTGCGCCGCCGCCGCACCCTACCACGCCCCCCCCCCGCAGGACATCTCACACGCATCCGCCTTCAATCTAAACCCACTTCAGAACATCGACACGCGCACACAGAGACACAGAGAGAGAGAGAGGCGGACATTGTACGAGGAGGAGGAAGGAAGGGATCGAGGAGGGCGGCGAGTGGGTTCGCGTGCTTCCGGGGCTGGGAGGGGCGAAGATGAAGGCGTCGAAGAGGCCGATCCAGGCGGTGGCGGCGTGGCTCCGCCGCCAGCCGCCGAAGGTGAAGGCGTTCCTCGCCGTCGTCTCCGGCATGGCGGCGCTCGTGTTCCTCCGGATGGTGGTCCACGACCACGACAACCTCTTCGTCGCCGCCGAGGCGGTCCACGCCCTCGGGATCGCCGTCCTCATCTACAAGCTCAGCAAGGAGAAGACCTGTGCAGGTATCGGGCGTTTGTTTTTTTCCTCCCTGGGTGTCTCTTGCCGTCTCTCTTTTTTGTCTTGCTTGGGGATTCAATTCGTGTTGACCCGAGAGGTTTGTTTGTGTAGGCCCTGTTGTTGATGTGGGTTTCGTAGATTGCGTGTGGTTTTTTTTTTCCAGATTGAATTTTGCTTCTCGAGTGTTGTGGATGCCGTGGCGCTGCTTGTGATCTGCGAGAGCAATGATCGAGTAGTTTCAGTAGATGTCTATGGGGGCTGTAAAATTTGAGACACGGAGATGACTCTGTTCTATTACTCCAGAGAGAAAGCTTTGAAGTGAATAATATGAGGAAGATTTCCTTTCATTTCCTCTTTCTTGTTTAATATGCGAGCTATTAGTAGGGGATATCTTGAGAATGTGGAGGTTTCTCTAGATGCCGCAAAAATGGAGTGCAATGGCAGAAGATAGTCGACCGCACTACTGCCACAAGGCTTCTTCATAGGTTCAAATAATCGAGGTGCCTTGAGATAAATAACAAGCCACTCGGCAATTCGACCTCGAAGGCATGACTTTAGAGTGAAGGGCGTGAAAAAAGTATAAATGTGTAGCTGTGAGATTCTGATCATGTGCGTTTCCCGACTAAATGTGACTTTGACATGTCCGTAGTTGCAACCTTCAACAGGCAGGGTTTTTTCAATTATGCATTTAGTATAAAGTAACAGACATAAAGTTAGCAATTTTGGTGCTGAAGAGTGAATACGATACATCATTTTCACTTTTATCTATGTGATTGAGTTTAGATCATCGTGCTTCTTAGTAATTATATCCTTCTATTATCAAAGTGATCCTGAAAACTTATTTTCGTTAATAATTGCTCTACACAGTCATTTCGGCTCTTTGATCAACTTTCTATTCTTATGATTATCATATTTTCAGTCTCTGACTACTTTCCTGAATGACGATTCATTTCAGGGCTGTCGCTCAAATCACAGGAACTAACGGCTGTGTTTTTAGCTGTAAGACTTTATTGTAGTGTGGTAATGGAGTATGATATCCATACATTACTCGATTCGGCTACACTAGCCACCACTCTTTGGGTCATCTACATGATTCGCTTTAAGCTGAGATCGAGTTACATGGAGGACAAAGACAACTTTGCTATTTACTATGTCGTAAGTCCTCCATCCATACTCTATTTATGTACATGGATACAGCGCAGGATGAGGAACAACTTTTTCTTTAGCTTTGTTTCTCTAGTTTAGAGTTTCTCTATCTCTTTTTTGGTTTCTATCAGACTCTTCCACTGGCAAACTATGGAATAGACATGTCCATCTTTATTTGCAAATTGTTTTAAGATTATATTTGGATGTGGGTGCCTGTATTCAAATGGACCCAAATGAAAAGATATATTAAACCTTGACATACAGAAGCTTCTCTTTTTGGATTTATTTCTGTGTAACGTGTCCCCAAAAGGCTGAGTTGGTTATGGCAGTCTGTTCATTTTATTCTTTTCTGGTAGTCAGGTGGCAGGTATATGCTTTAATTTATCTGAAAATCTGCATCAGTCAATAGATTGTCTTATAAGGTCAATAAATTAATTTTTATAGTCTACGAGTACTATAAATAAGGTTGAAGGTATATTGGGAATCAGTCAATAGATTGTTTTGTTAGGTTGCTATATAATTCTTATAGTCTACTAGGACCACAAATTAGGTTGAAGGTAGATTGGGCAGAATAAAATCATATAATTGAACGTCTCATGAATTTTCTGCTTATTTTAAGGTTTATTAGCCTGCTAAGTTGTTTCAGCTTGAACTTAACCAAATAATTATGATTTACTCCCTTTTGACCTTTTCCAATTTTGTTGATTGTTAAATTGAGCTGGTAATTTCACTCTTTGAGGCATCCAAATCAGAGAATTTGAACGTAGAGTTGTGAGAAGCTGGGCTCTAATTGTATCCATTAAATTTATTCGTTATTTGTATATTTACATTCTGTTGTGTTTTACCCCTTGCATTTAATGCAGGTGATTCCATGTGCTGTGCTAGCTCTAGTGATTCACCCCTCGACACATCATCATATCATTAACAGGATTTGCTGGGCCTTTTGTGTTTATCTTGAAGCTGTTTCGGTGCTACCCCAGCTCCGTGTCATGCAGAACACAAAGGTACTGCAATAGCCAAATCTTGTAAAGGCGATATGCGTGGAAAACATCTATGTCAATTGAAACCGGGTGTAAAAGGACGAACTCTACTTTTTATCTGCTGGTCACTTGCACTTCTGGATATAGATTGATGCCTAAGCCTCTTCATTCTGTTGATATTTTCATTTTGCATGTTTAAGTAGCAATTTTGCTACCCTTCTTAGTTCCTTTCAAAAAATTCGAATGATCGCTCTCCTTTTTCTTTAGCCACTCATGCCTTTACTCTGAACCTTTGGCTATTTATTTTGTGTATTCGTGTCAGCCAGGTGTGAGATTGCTCATTTGTGACTATTTCTATCCATTTGCTCTCTGTCCTGCAAAGTTGGTGCTCTGCAATCACTCCGACATACACATCACGTCTAGTATATTGGCTTTATAGTAGGCTGAGAGGAAATTCCCATGGGTTTTTTGCAGCATAGCTTTCTCAAATGTTGTCTCTTGCTGATGAGCAAGTGTGCCAGTTCTCTGTTTAGATTAGCTTTAGCATTATGTTAGAAGAAGATTGTGTTTCTTCTCATTCTGCTTATTCTCTCTTAAGATAGCGTTCTTTCTTCTAGGACGGGGCTATCACTGACAGCTGAATTTGCTTTTCCCTTGGCCAAATCTGCTGTCAAGTTCCTGAATTCCAGTCTTTATATGATTTACATGAATTAAATAGCTGAAACTAGACAAAAATAGCAGAAAGAGAATGTTCACATGTTTGTAAGGCCGGATAGGTGGTTTCTAATTTTGGAGATCGGAAATTAATGTGGTAGAGGTAGAGCAGCTTGTGACAAAAAGACATCAATCCATCGTTAAGGATAAGAGGGTTAGTGGCACAAAATGAGGTGTATATTTTGTCCTTTTGTATCTGGTATTAGTGGTACTCTTAAAATAGAAATAGCTGAGTTGCTCATAAATTATCGAGACTTTATTATTTTTTGGGCCTTTGTGTTTTCTCAGATTGTTGAGCCATTCACAGCGCATTATGTTTTTGCACTGGGAGTAGCGAGGTTTTTGAGTTGTGCCCATTGGGTACTCCAGGTCTGTTTTCCTTTACTCTCCTTTTTGTTATACATGATACCATTTGTAGGAGATACATGGATCTTTGTATAGATGCTTCACTTAGGTGGATTGCACCTGTTAGCTCTAATTGTTTTGTTTGCATAAAATCGGCTCTTTTTGGGTATCATCATGACATATTTCGTCTGCATAATTGAGCATCTGCCATTCGGTTGTTTGTTCTTTTTTTTTTTCTTTTGTGGGATCGGGGTATCGCTAATTAAAATTACCTTCTGGGGCATTGTTCTAATTTACATTTCATGCTTTGCATTCTAGTGGAAGTGGATATCGTTATTTTCTGTTGCTCATGGGCCAAGAAATGACTATCTAAGAATTTGGGTATTAGATTTGATTTTTTTTCTTCGCCTTTATTGCTCTTATAGGTAAGAATATTGTCAGATTCCATTCAGCATATGGTTTGTTTATAACTTTATACTATGTCACTACACTCTTATGCACAATTTACTGCAAGATGGTCAGATTAGAGTAACAGCATTCTAATAAAGGGAACATATCCATTGATGTTTGTCTCTTTATTGGTGACGTCCCTGACATCCTAGAGTGTTGTCATTATTTGAAGAAGTTGTGGAATGCACAAATAGGATTTTGCAAAGGTGTGGGAATGTCACTTACCTTGTCTCATACAGGTACTGGACACAAGAGGAGGCTTACTGACGGCACTGGGGTATGGACTGTGGCCTTCCATGGTCCTCCTGTCCGAAATAGTCCAGACTTTCATTCTTGCTGATTTTTGCTACTACTATGTCAAAAGGTATTAATGCATTGCTAGATTTTTGCTTCAGACAACTTATTGAACCTCCTCGATATGCAATTTGAAAATCGATTCTTTGTTTCAGTGTCTTTGGTCGACAACTCGTTGTACTTCTCCCCTCTGGAGTGTTGTGAACGATGTTAAAATATACAGGAAGAATTCAGGGACCATTATAGATTTATACCATCAAAAGATGGTAGCTACTCCTGTCTAGTTCCTTTTGCACCTCCTCCTGTCAGACCATTATAGATTTTTCTTTTCTTTTCTTTATCTGGTGGATGTTGAGTTGAGGATGCATTACCATCTGGTACATAAAATTTTCCGTAGAACTTGTGCAGATTGGCTTCCTGATGTTGGCATTTGATATTTGTTTCGATGTTGCCAACTGTGGAGATCTCCTGATAGATTAATGTACAGCTTAGAGGCTTTTCTGAGTCCATATGTCCTGGAGCTTATCTGATCTCATGCCTTAAATTATCAGATATGTCGACTTTCTTTCGGTTCGTAATTATACTACGAGTTTCACACATCTTTCCGACAATAGTCCCGGTGCATTGTGCTTGGAGATTCTATTAAGTCTACAGAATTTGTAAAAGGACTTGGATTAGCCAATCCTCGTGGTGATTGGATCTGGAAAATCCTAGTTAGTTTTGAGTGGGGATTGATTCGGAACTTTGGGTTATTGGTGGGGTGGCAGTTGTAGCAATGGCTGAACCTTGGTCTCTTTCTGTCTGTCAATAACTTGTAGGTTCAGAGATTGAAGCTATTAGATTGGTCATATAAAAGCTGAGATGAATCTTTGCTGAAAAGCTCTCCCCAGTGCAAGGAGAGCAAAACTAGCAATGTCAGTTTCTGCAAACTGCAGATTTTTTCCTTGAGTATGGTCAAAATCTGAGACTACCGCCATCTGCCAAAAAACCTCTGTCCGGAGTTGCCTGATTTCATTACGGATTCTACAAGCACAATCTATCTGAGATCATTATCTTTCCATTTCTTAAGCACGGGCGCGAAAGAGGTCTCACTATGTGTAAATGCTTAACCTCATGTGGCCGAAGGGGACTTGCATTCCGACATGCGTAGGGCTCTAGACTTGATTGCTCTAGGCGTAGCTTCGTACGGGCAGACCACGAGGAAGTTATCACCTTCAAATCATCTATCCCAGAGTATAAGAACCAGTCTTTGATTGGTTTAGAGACTTGAATCTTAAATGTTAATGCAAAAGATGACTCAAGTGATAGGAAAATTGTCCAAAAAGTCTTAAATTTATTGTATGGTAGTCAATTCAATCCAAAATTTTTCAATTATGTCAATTTAGTTATAAACCCATTGTATGGTGGTCAATTCAAATATAAACTTTTTATTTTTGTGAATTTAGTCATAAACTTTTTAACGATTTGCCAGTTTAGTCTTAAACCTTTTAACGATTTGTCAATATAGTCTTTCCGAATAATTTTGCGAAAATTATCCAGAAAGATTATATTGACAAATTGTTAAAAGGTGTAGAACTACACTGGCAAATTGTCTAAAGTTTATGACTAAATTGGCACATTTAAAAGTTTGAGACTAAATTGGCTACCGTATAATAGGTTTAGGACTAAATTAGCATAATTAAAAGGTTTAAGACTGAACTGATCGCCATTTAATAAGTTTAGGATTTTTTCGACTATTATCGTAAATGACAATGCAAGAAGGCCTTCATGCACCTTTTGCTGTATGACACATCAAGTATAAACAGCTCACACCCACCACATCTTTCTCACACCTTTCTTATTCGTTCACGAGGAGTGCAGAATTGCGTTCTTACTATAGCTTCTGATTAAAGAATTTGCACGGTCCAATCTCATTTTCTCTCATGAAATTGGACTCTGCCAACACGTACCTTCAAAACCACGAGCTGCTTGTGCTTTAGGACCATCATATGTCCATCTCTATCTATCCACTAGCTTAGCGATAAAGGCAATGCTGTAGTCCAAAAGGAGTTTTGGCACCTCTGGATGATTCCAAAGCACTTCTCTTTTATCTTTTTCTCTCCGCCAAATGTACCTGCACGCGTCTGGTGCATCGCAAAGTGTACCAGTTGGAATTTTCGTCCTCTTGCTTCGTTGCATATGCGCCAAATGTCCCCGTCCTCGCATGAAACCCACCAAGAATTACAATCCTCGCATAAAACTCTATTTAGGACTCCCTATATAATGGACTCTTTTGCTCTCAACGTGTTGCACCATTCTACAGGAGACAAGAAAACATCCTTAACACCCTCCATTAATCATTCAGGCAGTCATGTCTCTGTCCAAGGTTCTAGCTTATTTGCTCCTTTCCCTCCTCGTTCTCCATCTGCTGGTTGAAGCAGCTGATGCTATGGTAAATGAAATCTCTCTCTCTCTCTCTCTCTCTCTCTCTCTCTCTCTCTCTCTCTCTCTCTCTCTCTCTCTCAACGCTGTGTGCATGTTGATGAAGTTCTTTTAGTCTTTTATACCTCCAGTTAATCTCGACATGCATATGTTGTGTAGCAAGAGGTGAGCGCGGATTCGGTGGCAACTTCTGCCGCCAAAAAGATAGGTAAAATCTCGATTTAAATACTCTTCGATATGATGGTTTTGCAAAGCTACTATGCAGATTAATGAGTACAGAGAGCTCGAATGATTGAGAATCGAGAAAAAACCAGAGCTCTTATATCATATTCGACAAATTACTTTCCCAAGAACTGAAATGGTTAAATTATGGACAAACGACGTATATACAAAATATTTCTCTACATTCAATATGGCATTTTCTTCTGTATCATTATACCATGTTATTAGCCATGAGTTTTTCTTTTTCAGATTGTGGGGCGGCTTGCAACGCCAGGTGCCGGTTGGCATCGAGGCAGAAGATGTGCAAGAGGGCATGCGGAACCTGTTGTGCCCGTTGCAATTGTGTGCCACCGGGGACCGCCGGTAACCGGGACGTGTGTCCTTGCTACGCTACCATGACCACTCATGGAGGCAGACTCAAGTGCCCTTAATTTCGTTAAGCATCCCTGTGGATTTTGTATCATCTTGATGGATATATGTTGCCAAGAATAAAGAATTTAATTGATCAGCGTGTGATCTATAGTCAAATAATAAGAATGTTCCTGTGTAAACCCCAATATCATATTGAAATCTCCGTGTATAAAGAAACAACAATAAAGAATTTTATCCTTTTCTGTGTACTCTCTCTATATATATATATATATATATATATATTTTCGATTCGTCTTCTTTCATGAGTTCAAATCAGCAGTACTATGGTCACCTTCACGAGTACGAGTTTTTATATTTCTATGATAATTCAGTGCAATTGGTCAACTGTTGATAACCAATTATTGTATCGAGAAAGAACTAGCCGGATGCTTAAAAATTCTAAACACAAATTACTTGGATAAGAATCAAGAACTCGGTCAAGTTTCTTAAAAAGACAAGGAAATTGTTAGTTGATAATCTTGGTTAACCCACCGGTCAATCCACCAAATAATTAGGCCTAGCATCTCTCTTTTAACCCTAGTTTTTTTTTGGTCAAAACTTTTAACCCTAGTTGGACCACCACTTTCTAAATGATTTGGCATGAACTCTGTTCCAGATTGTTCATACCCTTGGTGGCGATTCTTTGAAGTCCTTTTTTATGGTAATAGTTGACCATATAACAGCTGTTCTGCAACTCTTATTGAGCTGTCATAAGCCTTTTCTTGTGCGGAGGTTATGAATTCGATCCATCCTAGAAGGAACGTAGGCCGTGAAATTTCACGAAAGTACAGGAATTTCAACTGAACTTGTAAGCCAATTCCCCAAAAATATTGTTTATGATTCTCATGCAAACGACAACATCCTGCATGCAATGCACGACGGTGGTGTCATCAGCCAGTTTGACTCGCGAGTTGGGAGTCTCAGCAATCCATATGCGTAATATAGATATATAGATGCATAGCGGATGAAAGGAATACAGAAATGAATTAAACATATGTATGTCAGAAAACATAAAAGTTGCTTGGATAAACATTTAAAATATGCTAGTGTTGAAGGTTTGTTATCTTGATGATTCTTAGATTGTGATATAATTTTGTATATTTCTTCTGACCTATTCCATCCTACTATAGAGAGAGAGATTTAAAGCTGGATTTGTCATATTAAGATTAAAAACCCGCCGCGTGACACTTTACTTTACCTTTTGTGATTGCCCCATGCCATAATTTTGCATCGTGGCCATGTTCGACCAATAACCGTTAGCTTTTTTATTCATCATACCTAAATTTCAATCTCTTATTCGATTTAAATTTTAAAATATGGATAAAGTTTCAATTGTGTAGTTTATTTTGAATATAGTTTCTTAAATGTATATTTTAATCTTATGGTTATTTAGATCAAAGAAGCGGGTCATGAATCGCTATTGCTGTCAAGAGCTGGCTTACCTTTCTCATGTATTCACGTTCGTCCATCTTCGAAGAAACTTGCTTTTCTACAAGTATAACCACCATGTGATCGAGATTGAATTAGAGAACAATGTTGTATTTATTTTCCAAATTGCCCGTGTCGAATTTACCTTAAATCGATTTAAACTTAACAACACTACTTTTGAATTTGCTTGACAACGAGAGGTTTTCAAACAAAAACTTGGAGCATATGCGCATGCTGCAAAGAAAAGGGAGGAAGTGTTGGTGGTTAGAAGAGAAATGACATAATTGAGAAAGTGTGGGTGCTTGAAAATGCTAATTACAATAATTGTTTATATTCAGTTTTTTATGATAGAATTCAGTTGAATTTCTTCAAGAATTGAAGGTTCTTTAAAGGGAATTGCGTTAAATGGTCAAAACAAAGCGATAAACATGTTATGACCGTAAAGTTCAATTAACACATGAAGTAGGTTCATCGAATAATTTCTCCAACGTCCCGACCGAAGCTTTAGTGTAAAATTCCATTCGATTCAAACTTAACAAACCAGCCAAGCTTTAACGTCAAACCATCAACAAAACATGTGAGTCGCTTAGTTTAGGTCTCTCCGCGATTGGTTTGTTCCCTATTTGTCGATGTATCATAACATAATTCAAGCTTCTAGGATTTCCTTCTATCTATACGGTGTTGCAATTTCTACCGCTACCAATGATTTTTATGATCAACCGCTAACTTCACGGAATAGAAACGCAAGATGCATGGTTGCGGTGTGAGTTTGCTGTATGTTGCTTGAAGGCCGCCGGAAAACCTGCAGAAATCAGTACTTGGACGTTGCTGGTGATGTTCACCAGGGGCGCATGAAGTGGCAGCAAAAACCTGCAAAAGAGAACTCAGGTTGGGGGGGAGAGGGACTGGACTGGTGTAGCCAGAGTTCCGCCTGAAATCGCTGGAGCTTATGTGTGATGCTGTTAGGACTCGGTGACTACCGTGGGCATGGGAAGTATGGCATGAGATTGTTAGTGATGCCGGAATCAATCAAGCAGGCGGGGGGACTGGACTGGTGTAGCCAGAGTTCCGCCTGAAATCGCTGGAGCTGATGTGTGATGCTGTTAGGACTCGGTGACTACCGTGGGAGTGGGAAGTATGGCATGAGGTTGCAGGGTAAAGTTACGTATCGAACTTCTGTCTCGATTTCAATATACACATGGATCCTGTCTAGGGTTCTATATATTCCACTGCGTTTTTACCATTGATGATCCCTACAGTTGCAGGGTGCAGTGAGGTAGTTGATCACGGTGTTGGACAAACTGTTCAGGAGAGGCAACCGGGATCGATCTTCACGGCGGCGAGACCTGCTGGAAATTCTGGACTTGGAATTGTACTGGAAGGGAAACCTCGGGACAAGGAGCAAGAGAAAACCGAGCTGAGCTGAGCTTTTTCTGGAGCATACATTAATCGTATCGTCTGTGTCCTCTTTTCTTGTATTCCTGTGCTCCACTTCGAATCCCTAATGAACTTCAAATTATATTCTTCGTATCATGCAAATAATAATATTCAATAGAGTCAAGCTTGCTAAGGTGGCTATCTTTTCCCTTTTGCTAACACCTCCAAACTTTATACTAGCTCCAATATTGCCGTGGATGTGCCCTATTGATGAATATTGCTTCCCTTTCTTTAAATCCAATTGAAATATTGCTCCCTCACGCGTTTTCTTCAATGTGCCCACAATGCTTTTTGTTCAGTGAACTTTCCCCGTTGATTCCCATCCTAATTATGGCCAGTCAATTTCGACCGAGGTTCATTCTCCCAATTTTGTAATGACAGTCAATGTCCTTACCTTCATGTTGACCATATTTTAATTGTCGCCACCCCTAGGCTTCATCAAAATCCACTTTCCTAATCATGTGCAAGGCACATGTGAAATTCAGTCGTGGTCAACTGAAGTGCGAGCCAACCAAGTACCAAACCGGATCACCTTGACTTACTGTAAAAGGGTAAATTGTCCACAAAGTCATAAACCTATTGCATTTTTACTAATTTAGTCATGAACTTTTTAATTTTGCCAATTCAATCATAAACCTTTTGTATTTGTGCCAATTTTGTCCATCCAGCCAATTTTGGCCAGCCAACGCTGACGTGGTAATTGTTTAATATTTTAATATTTTTTCGAATTTTTTTAATTAATTTTTTCTTTTTCTATTTTGTTTCTACCCATCTTCCCTCTAGCCAGCCAATCCCGCCAAGGCAAGGCCGACCCCACCAAGGCAAGGCCGACCCCGCCATCCCTGGGTAGAGGCCTCGCCCAGCCAAGGCGAGGCCAACCTTGCTGTCACTGGGTTCTCCCTCACCCAGAGACGGTGAAGTCGGCCTCGCCTTGGCTAGGGAGGCTCGCCCTCACTAGTGGCCGGCGGGGGTGAGCTTCGCTAGAGGCTGGCTCGCTGGCCAAAGCGAAGATGGGTAGAAACAAAAAAGAAAAAAAAAGGAAACAAAAGAAATTTTTTTAAAAATATTAAAATATTTAAAAAAAATTTGCCGCGTTAGAGATGGCCATACAACGTCCACGTTAGCGCCGACTGGTCAAAATTGGCCGGATGAACTGAATTGGAAGTTTAGGACTGAATTGGCAAAAATGTAATAAGTTTAGGATATTTTGGACAATTATTTCCACCGAAAAAGGATCCTCCCCTCTAACTAGTTGTCCAAACCTCCCCAACCCCTTTGATATTTCTTATGTATTGACTCTTGTCAACAATGCTTGTTTAGCTTTCTTTCGGAATGAATGAAATGGTATTTATGTTGACCAAAATAAAAAATGAAGTGCAAGCTGGCCGAAATATCCTCTTGTGAGCTTAGTCCAGATATTTTAATTAAACTCTTAACTCCCCCTTTTCCAGTCCGATTAGATTACAATTATATGTGCTTAATTAACCATTAATGCAAATGCACCTAATATCTATATGCAATTTAACTAATATTTTGTTGTTTAGGGTCAGAGTCGATTCATAATTTTCTATGCAATAAATAACTCAATGGATCGCCAAAATTTAGGCGTCAACAATAATTGCCTCTAAATCATCTGTCTAGGAGTATAAGAACCGTCTTTGATTGGTTTAGAGACTTAAATGTGAAATGTCAATGCAAAAGCTAACTCAAGTAAATGACCACGCAAGAAGACTTTAATGCACCTTTTGCTGTATGACATACCAAGTATTGATATCTCACAACTACCGCATCTTTCTCACACCTTTCTTAATTGTTCAATCTCTAATTTTCTTATGAAATGGACTCTGCCAACACGTACCTTCAAAACCATGAGCTGCTTGTGCTTTAGGACCATGATATATCCATATCTATCTATCCACTAGCTTAGCAATAAAGGCAATGCGATAGTCAAAAGGACTTTTGGCACCTCCTGATGATTCCAGAGCACTTCTCTTTTATCTTTTTCTCTCCACCATATGTACCTACACGCGTCTGATGCATCGCAAAGTGTTCGTTCTCTTGCTTCGTTGCCTATGCACCAAATGTCCCCGTCCTTGCATGAAACCCACCAAGAATTACAATCCTTGGCACCTCCGGATGATTCCAGAGCACTTCTCTTTTATCTTTTTCTCTCCACCATATGTACCTGCACGCGTCTTATGCATCGCAAAGTGTTCGTTCTCTTGCTTCGTTGCCTATGCGCCAAATGTCCCCGTCCTCGCATGAAACCCACCAAGAATTACAATCCTCGCATAAAATTGGATTTAGGACTCCCTATATAAGAGACTCCTTTGCTCTCAACGTGTTGCACCATTCCACAAGAGACAAGAAAACATCCGCGACACCCTCCATTAATCACAATCATTGAAGCAGTCATGTCTCTGTCCAAGGTTTTGGCTTGTTTGCTCCTTTCCCTCCTCGTTCTCCATCTGCTGGTTGAAGCAGCTGATGCTACGGTAATTAAAATCTCTTCTCTCTCACTCTCTCAACGCGTGTGCATGTTGATGTTCTTTTAGTCTCTTATACCTCCAGTTAATCTCGACATGCATATGTTGTGTAGCAAGAGGTGAGCGCGGATTCGGTGGCAACTTCTGCCGCCAAAAAGATAGGTGAAATCTCAATTGAAATGCTTTTAGATGTGATGGTTTTGCATAGCTACTATGTAGATTGATTAGATATGATGTTTGAGAATCAAGAATAAACTAGAGCTCTGATATCGTATTCGATAAATTACTTTCCCAAGAGTTGAAATTGTCAAATTATTGACCAATGGCATATATACAACATATTTCTTTATATTCAGTATGGTATTTTCTTCTGTATCATTAGTCCATGTATCAACCATGAGTTCTTCTTTTTCAGATTGTGGAGTGGCTTGCGCCGCCAGGTGCCGGTTGGCATCGAGGCAGAAGATGTGCAAGAGGGCATGCGGGACCTGCTGTGCCCGTTGCAATTGTGTGCCACCGGGGACCGCCGGTAACCGGGACGTGTGCCATTGCTACGCCACCATGACTACTCATGGAGGCAGACTCAAGTGCCCTTAATTTAGTTAAGCATCTCCGTGGATTTCGTATCATCTTGATGGATATATGTTGCCGAGAATAAAGAATATAATTGATCAGTGTGATCTACAGTAAAATAATGAGAATGTTTCATTTGTAAACCCTAATATTATATCAAAGTCTATGTATAAAGAAACAACAATAAAAAGTTTTATGCTTCCCGCGTACTTCTCTCTCTCTCTCTGACCATGTTCAATTGCTGTACAGCTTCTTACTAATTCACGAGTTCAAATCATCATAATTCAACCCATATGAGATGGGTTAACCGTTAGATAACCAATTATTTATCCAAGGTGGACTAGTCGGATACTTAAAAATTCTAAACACAAATTACTCGGCAAAAGGACAGTAGAAGTGCTACAACTTGTATACGGCGATCACTTTGGTGCCATAATTTTTTTTTCGGATCACTTTGATGCCAACTTTTTTAAAAAAACGATAATTTTAGTGCCAATGCTGACGTGGCTCGCCGGAAATCCGATGTGGCGCTGACACGACTCGCCGGAGAAGTCCAGTCAGCATTAAAAACCAAAAACGATGCCATTTAGCCCGCTGACGTGTACTTTTTTTAAAACAAATTTATATTATATTTTTAAAAAAAAAAGGTCGCAGTAGCGGCGAGGGAGGCCTCGCCGCTGCTGCCGCCAACCCACCACTGCCAGGAAGGGCCGGCGGTGGTGGGCGCAGTGGTCGGCGAGGGTCACCGGCCCCTGGTCTGGGCCCAGCGACCCTCGCCTCGCCCAGCGAGGGTCGGATCCGGCGAGGCGAGACCTCGCCGTCGCGACCCAGGCGACGGTGAGATCTCGCCTCGCCCAGCGAAGGCGAGGCGAACCTCGTTGTCGAGCGAGGGTCGGATCCGGCGAGGCAAGACCTCGCCGTCGCGACCCAGGTGACGGTGAGGTCTCGCCTCGCCCGGCAAAGGCGAGGCGAACCTCGTTGTCGCTGGGTCGCGACGGCGAGGTCGGCCTCGCCTTCCTAGGCGAGGCGAGACCTTGCCATCGCGACCCGGGCGACGGCGAGGTCTCGCCTCGCCCAGCAAAGGCAAGGCCGGACCTCGCCGTCACTGGGTCGCGACGGCAAGGTCTCGCCTCGCCGGATCCGGTCCTCGCCGACCACCGCGCCCACCACCGCCGACCCTTCCCAACGGTGGTGGGTTGGCGGCAGCAACGGCGAGGCCTCCCTCACTGCTGCTGCAACTTTTTTTTTTTTTAATTATTATTTTTTTTCTAAAAATTAAAAAATTCGAAAAAAAAAGCCACATAATTTCCACGTGTACAAGTTAGATCATTTTTTTTAATATAAATGCCAGGTCAGCTTTTTAGCCGGAGTCACTAAAGTGATCTATTTTCCTCCGACTTGGCACCAAAGTGATCCAAAAAAAAGTTATGGCACCAAAGTGATCGCCGTACATAAGTTGTGGCACTTCTGGTGTCTTTTTGCCCAAATTACTCAGCTAAGAATCAAGAAATCGGTTAAGTTTCTTAAAAAGATGACGAAATTGTTAGTGGATAATCTTAGTTAATCCACCGGTCAATCCACCAATAATTAGGCCTAGCATCTCTCTTTTAACCCTAGTTGGACCACCACTTATTAAATGATTTTGCATGAACTCGGTTCCAGATTGTTCATACCCTAGGTGGCGATTCTTTGAAGTCCTTTTTTATGGCAGTGGTTGACCATATAACAGCTGTTCTGCAACTCTTATTCAGCTGTCATAAACCTTTGCTTGTGTGGTGGTTATGAATTCGATCGATCCTAGAAGGAATGTAGGCCGTGAAATTTCCTTCTAGAAATTTCACATTCCTAGAAGGAATGTGACCATATAACAACTGAACTTGTAAGCCAATTCCCCAAAAAAAATTTGTTTATGATTCTCATGCAAACGACAAGATCATGCAAGCAATGCATGACGGTGGTGTCATCAGCCAGTTTGACTTGCGAGTTGCAGTCTCACCAAATCCATATGCGTAACATATATATATATATATATATATATATATATATATAGATGAATGGCGGATGAAAGGATAACAGAAATGAATTAAACATATGTATGTCAGAAAATATAAAAGTTGCTTGGATAAACATTTAAAAATTTGCAAGTGTTGAAGGTTTGTTATCTTGATGATTATTAGATTGGGATATGATTTTGTATATTTCTTCCGACTTATTCTATCCTTCTACAGAGAGGGAGAGAGAGAGAGTTAATGCTGGATTTTCATACTTGAGATTAAAAACTGGTAGCGTCACACTTTACTTTACCTTTTGTGATTGCTCCGCGCCATAATATTATCACGTGGCCATGTTCAACCAATAACCGTTAGCTTCTTTATTCGTCGTACCTAAATTTCAATCTCTTAGTCAATTTAAATTTTAAAATATGGATAAAGCATATCTTCATGTACACTTTTCAATTGTATAGTTTATTTTGAAAATAGTTTTTTAAATATAATCTTATGGCTATTTAGATCAAAGAAGCAGTTTATGTATCGCTTTTGCTCTCAAGAGCTGGCGTACCTTTCTCACGTATTCATGCCCGTCCATCTTTGAAAGATTTTACTTTTTTAGAAGTTTAACCACTTTGTGATCAAGATTGAATTAGACAATAGTGCTGTATTTATTTTCCAAATCGCCTGTTTGTCAAAATTACCTTAGATCGATTTAAACTTAACAACGCTACTTTTGAATTTGCTTTATAACGAGAGGTTTTTCAAACAAAAACTTGGAGAATACACGCATGCTGCAAAGAAAAGGAAGTGTTGGTGGTTAGAATAGAAATGACCTAATTACAATAATCGTTTATATTCAGTTTATATAATAGACGTCAGTTGAATTTCTTCAAGAACAGTTGAATTTCTTCAAGAATTGAATGTTCTTTAAAGGGAATTTGCGTGAAATTTCACCAGCAAAATTGATAACAAGAATCCCTTTCAATTCTCTTTTTAACTATAGTAGTAGACAAGCAGCAGAGATAAGAAGGAAAATATTAAACATAATTGGATTTTAAAATCTTCATCTAATTTTTTCAGGAGATATAAAAAGCTGCTTTTCTGCAAATTCTTAAAACCCCAGAAGTTTGATTGATACTTTAAGCTAGTACACCGCACCTATTTATATATTTGCCATGCACTATGATTAAACAATATAGTATAAGTGGGGTCAAATTAAATCGAATAAACGGGTTCATCCTTATCAAGACCTTCAACACCGACTTATGTTGACATATTGGAGGTCTACTTGATTAGGCAGCAATACTTTATTCGATTATGTGCAAATAATTCATCTCCCAGCGACTAATGGTTTTCTCATGCCACTCATGGTTTGGGACCAATTGTTTGTTTAAGTGCCTATCAACAACGTAGGGGTCCCTTGAGAATCTTGCGTTTTGGTCGAGCAAGGTTATGACAGGAAAAGTAAAAGATGAAGCCTTTGACAAGTGTAAAGGGAAGGCAATGGATGAAGAGACAATAGATATCTGGCAATTAACCTTATAATCACTATGCTTTGGAGAGCAAGAGGAGCAAATTTTGAGTTGTTCCTCTTGCCTATTTTTCTACTTTAACACATCATTGTGGAATATACTGATCCGAGACGATTTGGAGAAATGCTATATTTTTCTCTGTCCTTGATTTGAAGGGAATGATGGATTATGAGTTAATGACACCATCTACATGCAAACTTTAGTTATGAAATTAAAAGTGTGATGTCGTAACCCACCAATAAAAGGCGTGATTGGAGAAAACTTGCTCCAACTAGAGATGGAGGAAAACATGACCTGTGAGAAACTTGGGAAGTTTGTTCAAATTAGTTAACAAGTTTCATGATAACATTGATTGTAAAGAGTAGTTATTGTACATATCGAGGATATAGTATGTAAAATTTTGTGGGATTACTAATAACTAGTTTAAAAGTTTATCTGTGTTCAAACCAATGGCCCCGTGGTGATGGCGCGTCCTTAACTGTGGTGATGGACTAGATGAAATCGATATCATTGAGTGCTAAGCAAAATTTAAAAAAACAAGAAAACATGGACAATTGTGAGCAGCGATAACTAAGGTCGCGTTTGTTCGCTGAAAATGAATGATTTGAAAAATATTTTCTTAAAAATGATTGCTTATATCGCTTGAAATTATTATTCGATGAAAAATGTTTTTATTATCAATTACAATTTATGTTTAAATATTTTCGTGAACCATAAAAATACTTTTCGCTCATTCATTTTTATAAGCGATACGGACGATCATTTTTTAAAATATGTTTTCAAAATCATTCATTTTCTGCGAGACAAACAGAGCTTAAGAGAGAGAGTCTCTAGGATACTGAGGACTAGAATAAAATGATGTATCAAAACTTAATGAAGATAAACAAAGAATCAAAAATAGAAAAATTATGAAGATACACTACAAAAAAACAAGGATTTAGCCACGGAAAATTAGCAATGAAAAATTTTTCGTCGCTAATTTGTGATGAAAAATTATTCGTCATTAATTTGCGATGGAATTTGCGACGAAAATTAAATTCATCGCTAATTTGAGACGAAAAAAAAAATTCGTCGCTAATTTGCGATGGAATTTGCGACGAAAAAAAATTCGGCGCAAATTAGCGACGGAATTTGCGACGAAAACTGAATCCGTCGCTAATTTGCGACGAAAAAAAAATTACTCAAATTCCCATGAAATCAAGAGCCGGGGAAAGGCCACACGCATCATTTCGCAAAACTCAGAAATGAAAAAACACCCCCCATTGCCTCAACACATCAAAAACAGCACAACGCGCAGAACCATCACAAACGAAAACCCGAGCACGAGGGAACAACAAACGGCGATTCAAACCCGACGCCCCTGCGAGATCCTGAACAAAAACCCGAGCTCACCACGAAGAACACGACTGCGCCTGGCACCGAAGGGGAACGAACCGAGCAAGATTCTAGGGTTGGAGTCAAGCTACCAATGTTGCGTACCTCGATGGATGATGGATCAGTGGGAGATTGCGAGGGCGAGCCACAACACTTTCTCTCTCTTCTTTCTCTCTTACGTGCCTCTGCTCTTCGCCACGGCATTTGGGCGACGGCGAGGTCGAGCTGCGGCCATGGCGAGGCCGCTCGACCTCGCCCAGATCCGGGGGAGGCCAAGCGACCTCGCCATGGCCGCCGCTCGACCTCGCCGTCGCCACATGACGGCGAGGTCGAGCAATGCTGGCATGGCGAGGCCGCTCGGCCTCCCCCAGATCTGGGTGAGGTCAAGCGGCCTCGACAGTGCTGGTGAGGGCCAGCCTTGCCCATGGCTGGCGAGGTCGAACTCGCCAGCCTCAGCCGGTTGTCGATCCGGCGACCGGCAAAGAATATAGGAAAAAAAAAGAAAAAGAAAAATATAAAAATAAAATTCAAAAAAAATAAAAAATTATTAAAAAATTAGCGACGAATTTTGCCACGAATAATTAGCGATGAATTTTGCCACGAATATAGTTCGTGGCTAATTAGCGACGAATTTTGCCACAATTAATTAGCGACAAATTTGCCACGAATATAGTTTTTTTGTCGCAATTTAGCGACGAAAATTGAAATTTTTCGTCGCTAGCAAATTTTGCGACGCCGAATTGGCGACCTAAATTTTTTCGTAGCAAATTCGTTTAGCGACGAATTTTTCCAAATTTTTCGTGGCAAAATTCGTCACTAAAACCTACCTTTTTTTGTAGTGATAACGTAAAAGTTAATGTGTGCTGGAGAAGAATTATTAGATAGCAATAAAAATTGGTGAATAAAACTAATTTAAAAATAAGTTAATTCTAAGTGGACCATATTCAAGCATCATATCAGAATTTATCGAATCATTTCATTAGCCAACTCGTGAAAACTTTTTTTGTATATTCTTTTGCATTATTCGCACAATGATATGGTAAGTACAACTTCCAGATGATTCTTTAGCCCTTTCCACTACCAAATATTCCTGATCACTCCCTCCTATTCTTCCCTTTTTTCTTTGGTTTTACACACCTTTTTATTTTCTTTTAATCCTTTTGGGACCTGTATTATGAGCATGCTTGTCACCCTTATTTTATTTTTATTTTTCATTATCAAAATGCATGTCATACCCCATCCAGCCTTTGCTGTGCACCCACCACCTTTTGCTTTCTTTCCTCTCTCAATCTCAATCTCAATCTCACCCTTATAAATACGACCAACCCTTTCTCTTATTCCTTGCACCAATACCATATTATATGTGAAACAGTGAAAAATATCATCATCTCCACTTCGAGCCACCTTTCGTTCATGGCCAACTCCAAGCTTTTGATTGCTTCCTTGCTCGTTGTTGCCTCCCTTTTTCTCCTCCAAGTCGCTGCAGCTGATGTTCAGGACTCGGTAATACAGCAAACCCCTGCTCGTTTTCAGTCCACTGCCACATAGATTGTTTTCTTTGATGAAGTTCTTCGTATCTTGCTTTTTATAGACTGACCAAATGGAATTGATTGTTCTTTGATTTCGTCGTGGGAATACAGCAGGCAAAAAGAGATGTAGAGGAGAAAACGCTTCTCAAAAGGATGGGTACGTAAGAAACTCTCACGAGTCTCGCTTGCTGATCTTGTAGTGTTATTTACTTCACTATCATTATATGATCAGACGGTCGAAGCGAGGTTTTATCCCATCTATCTATCATTCGCCGATCATTCCGACGTACGCATGTTATCATCTTTTGCTTGTCCATCGCAACAATGTTTGTAAGCTGGAAAGCGGATTTGAACTGACGATGTCGTTCCTGAAATCTAATGTGATGAACTTGAAAAATCTTGCAGCTTGCGGTGGAGCGTGCACCGCGAGGTGCAAACTATCGTCGAGGCCAAGGCTGTGTCAGAGGGCGTGCGGCACGTGCTGTGCCCGGTGCAGCTGCGTCCCGCCGGGCACCTCGGGCAACCTCGACTCGTGACCTTGCTACGCCAGCCTCACCACCCGCCGCAACAAGCGCAAGTGCCCTTAGAAGCTGCAAGTCGTTTTGGTCCCAGTGCGGTGTGTGTGTGTATGTGTATGTATATTTTCCCAGTGAAGGTTGTGCCGTTGCTAATAAAACACAAAATTTTACCTTAGTCATTACGTTAAGTTATTGTTGACTTCCCTATGAGCATGTTGTGTGATCAGAAGAGTAAAAATTTCCTTTCTCTATTTCACTTTCCAATGGAGTCAGTAAGAACTGTTGTGAACGATATGCATGATGCCCCCCATCATCAATTCTTTCTCGTGCGTGCCGTTCGCTTTTGGTCTCGACTGTACACGAATATTCAGAACTTTCTTATCATTTTTTCTACACGATAAACATGGTATGGCCGTAAACTTCAGTTAACATGAGTAATAGGTTCATTGAATATTTCTCCTACGTCCCGACCGAAGCTTTAGTGTCAAATTCCATTCGATTCAAACTTAACAAACTAGCCAAGCTTTAACGTCAAGCCATCCACAAAATATGTGAGGCGTCTCTCCGTGATTGGTTTGTTCCCTACCCGTCGATTTATCATAACATAAATCGTGCTTCTAGGAGTTCCTTCTAATTATGGTGTTGCAATATCTTCTACTGCTAATGATGTATGGTAAATGAGAGACCCACTTCCAATTTTCAAAATTGGAAACAGCACGTCTTCTCTTTATGAGAAATAAATAATTGTCCGTATACAGGAGGTGCTGCAATCGCTCTAAACCATACTGCTCTTATATTACATTACAAGAATGGATGCATCCTGATTTGTCTCTTGATCAATATAAATATGAGGGTGTCAGGTTGAACAGCTAACGCGAGAAATTCATTCAGCTGTGACACTTAGACTTGGCTCATCTCTCTTCTTACATCCAATACAAACTCCTTCAGACTTCTGTGAATTCCAAAACACAACAGTCAGGGTGTGTGTGCCTAAGCATCTTTATCACGTAGGTTTCGAGCTATGAAGATCTTTGGATCCTGCATAACGCTCCTGCTATTTTCTGCCATCGTTACGATGCACCATACTCAGGCCGACCTCTCGATAAGAGTCATGTTCTTTTGCCCCCAAAATGAAAACTTAATCCGGGTTTCTTTTTTGGGTCGGTCAAATGTTGCAGGACCTACAGTTCTTACTTGGGTATTTTATCCTTCTCTAATTCAGACTCAGGTTTTTAAATTTTCTCAGGTGACTGAATCGGATACGAGCGATGCATCAGTTCCAATACCGTATCACGAACTTATAGGCAACATCTTCTTGTCCATCTATCGATGCGATCGGTATCATTCACTACAGGTAAACTAATTGCTCTTATATGGAATGAAACGATGCGAATTGCAGATTGCAATCAGGCGTGCTCTGTTCGTTGTTCCCTAGCGTCACGGCAGCATTTTTGTGAAAGAGCTTGCGGGACATGTTGTGCTCGTTGTGGTGCGTGCCTCCCGGAACATATGGCCACTATGAAGTCTGCCCTTGCTATGCCAACATGACCACCCGCGGAGGCCGCCATAAATGTCCTTAAGCTTTTCCAAAGGCCTGTCAACCGTGCGAAAAAAACTGATAATAGGAATAATGAGAAGCAGGAATTTTAGACTTTTAAGTGTATTGAGTTCTTTCTTTCGACCAAAAAAAAAAAAAAAAAAAGTGTATTGAGTTCTTTCCTCAGGAGAATATAATATCTACAGAACTTATATGATTTTACTTCCTCTCAAACTGATTTAATCACGTTTCGACATTTCAAAGGATGCATGACCGATTTCATTCGAAAAAGCATCTATCCTCGTCAAGCCTGTCAGATCATATAGTACCTAAAGCAGAAGGCACTTTGGCAAGCTGCTCTACTGCACGGCATGCCACGGAAATTAACAGCGATTCAAGTATATCGAACAAGCAAATGTTAACCATGATCACAGTCTTGCACTTGCGAGGATAAAAGGTGAATTACATATAAAAGGTGGGCCTCTATCCCGTAAAGTTTGGAATTGAACACGGATAATTCATCGAATGACAAGGATAGACTTCCACAAAGCACAATAACCGAAACAATCATGAATGGTATGCGGAGTAAATTTTCAGTAGCACATCTCCACAAGCAATGTGGACAAAACCATCACAATACAAGAGAACATCTCTAAAAAAAAAAGCTACACCGAACTGCAGTTCAACCATAAGGGGGGTAGGGAGGCAGAATATCGAATATCCCACTTGAAGATTTCTTTAGTGTAAAAGGAGCATCACTCTAGCTTCTCAAGTTCCCCCAATCTCTCTATAATTGCCTGCGACTCAAAGAACAATTGCTTCAGTGACCGTTACTTATAATTGCAGGAACTGAATGGAAATGCACATGCTTTGTATAAAAAGCTAAATGGACCTTGTTCAGGGTCCGTGATTCTATTTCCCTGCGTGATCTCTAGGTCCATAGTGTATGCATGTGCATGTGTGACCTTTTCCACAGCTGCAAGGACCCGGAAGAGATTCTTTTTTTTTCCTGCCTTTTTTGTTATGGGTTGACAGTTTGCCTTCTCTTTTGTATTTCTGTCTCTTAAGGTAGTGTTGGAGTCATCCAACGTTCAACTCCTAGAACCCTTAACTGCAACCATTCCCTTCCTCCCCCGAAAACCAAAAAGAAAAGAGAAAAACAATTGAAAAAGAGAGCTGATTGGAGAAATCTCAAAAAAGGAACATATCTTGCTACACACTGAAGCAGGAAATCAATCCGACAACTAGCTGTTAAAAAAAAAATCTATGTAAGATGTTTACCCTCTTGCTTGTTTCTTGGATTTCGCCGGCAAGGATGAATTCATCAAGTATCAGATAAACCTTCACAAGGAGGGAAAAGATGAGTTGATTTTCTATAACCATGATAAACATACTGGTGTCCCCAACAAAATGGAGGCAACATCAAAGAGGAGTATCAAGAATGATGACAAATAACACTGTTTGGATAGTTGAACTATATATACAAACACAATGATGCACAAGATGAGTAGTATCGTGATTCCTTAGTATCATGAACCACAAGTTGATACTACACAAAAGATAGAGAAGATGAGCAGCATCATGATTCCTTAGCTTTGCTTAGTCTGTTGCGATATCCAGGAAGTTTGGCAGACTACCGACCATTTCACTTATAATTGGGAATAAGAGACTTCTAAACTATCTGTTGAACTTCCATTTCTGATCAACTTGTGCTTTTGAGACCTTATGTGTGCTTCTTTCAAGCTAAAACCTAAAACCATTATGCTCAAACCCACCATCTTTTCATAGCTACCCATTCTCAGAGCAATAACTTGAACTTTGCCAAAAACAGAGAGAGACAACAGCTGGACTTGCTCAGCCTTCACTGTCCCAAATGAATAGAAACTTCTGGTAAAAGCAAAGCACAAATCCTCAACTGAGACAGAGGAACAGAGAAAATTTGGTTGAGCACAACACAATGGGATAGATTTTACCCTCAATGGAATGAAGCTTCTCGAGCTTCAAGATATATTCTAGAGTCTAGAACCCATTCAAACTAACAAGAAAGCAACAAGCACTGATTCTGTCAGCCCGCTCCCTAAAGTAGCTCGAAATACATAGCAAATACCATTTCATGGCTTACACCCAAATGAAACAAGAAAAAGTAGTCAATTTAAACAACCAATGCAGCATTAAGACAGTGAGTGGATGCAACAACAAATGAGACTTTCGGTGTAAAGTCAAACATGAGAGGACCATTTAAAACTAAAGAAAACAAAGAAAAAATAGCTCATCCAATGGAGGTTTTCCAGAAAATCCAGAAACCCAGTCTACCAACAATCTTAGAAGAAAGATGTACGTAAAACCTATATGGGAGAGCATATTTCTAGTGTCCAGCTCTACTCACATATTCAGACAGCAGCATCGATAGAAATAGACAGCCAGACAAGATCTGACAACTAATTTCATATAAAAATGTAGCATACAATTGCAAGATGTGATAAAGAAGCAGGTTCAGACATAAGTAGAGCTGATGGTTATGGACAAACCTTATGAAAATTGAATACCAAGTCTAGTTCACAGACATTGCTGAAGAAGTGATCCAAAATCTCTACAAATAAGTGAATGCACTCCAAGTATGCAAGCTCATTATCCGTTATGTCAACACAGAGCGAGAAAAACAGTCCAGCATATCGCCTGTAAATAACCTTGTGTGTCCGAAACTGCAATTGAAAATCTCAATTAGACCTTCATGTGCAGCCAGCAAACGTGGAACTTTTGAGCACCCGAAAAGACACTTGAAGTGACACTTTAAAATCAAGACAATGGAATCAGAAACGTCGTTCACTGTACAATAGTGTTTGGATATTTGGCTATCAAATGGTGAACGAATTCCTCCTCATACATCCTAAAAGAGAATAGAGGTATTTCCTAAAGCTTACTGCACAGAAACATGTATCGCGAACCTCTCCGAGGATAGTGCAAAGTGAGCCAGTCCCATCTGGATTTGCTATTGATTCAACAATGCCATGAAGAAACTCACACATAGAAGAGATGCAGCCAGGGAAATAAATTATATTTCTGATGACTTAAGAAAGAATAAACAAGCAGGGATGATTAGAACTAGAGTGGCTGAGCGAAGAAGCATTCTTTCTTGCGAACCACTCTTTCACGCGATGGATCACTTCCGTTGCATTTTCATAAACCAATCAGCGCGTGCTCATTCTATAAGGACCCCATATTGACTATGATGGTTTCAGGTGCACAAGTAAATTCACTGACGAGCGGACAAAACCCCGAGTCACTAGAAGTTCAGTGCTCATCTTTCTCTTGGGTCTTGCTCTGTTTCTTTTCTACTTCCCTATGATCCTCCTTAAACTCCTAAATTCTCTTCGCCAGTCAATCGCCGCGACTGCAACAATCAATGGGGGAAATGACCCATACAACGCGTGCTCACGGGCGCATTCGCACGAAAGAGCCGACAATATTCAAGGATCGGCGAAGGCAAAAGAAAGCAACCGCAGGGGAAAAAGATGGAAGATTCTGACCTCGACGAAATTGGTGAACTTGGGATCCCTATTGACCACCAACCGATGAACCTGGAAACCCAGCAAAACCCCCACGCAAAAAGAGAGGACAAGATTTAGTCAGCAAAAACCAAACCCAATTCGGCCCCAGAAACGAGGAACGAGCATATCGATCGCGGGGGGAGGAGGAGGGGGAAGAAAAGGGGGGGTAACGGCGGCTACCTCGTACTCGACCTTGTGCTTCTCGGAGTCCTCGAGGGGGACGTAGTACTTGGCGAGGCGAGTCTTGCCCTGCCGGTTCTGCAGCAGTATGAATCGGATCTGGAAAAAAAAAAGGCCAATCAGGGAACGAACGCGATCGGGGCCACCAAAACCAAATGAAACGAGCGCCATTTGAAAACTTCCCAAGAAGATCAGCAGAGTGAATTCACCATTTTCTGACGAGGGTCGTCGTCGGAAGGAGGAGGAGGAGGAGGAAGAGATTCGGGAGCGGAAAGCAGCAGCAGGAGGAGCTTCTTCAGCAGCTAGGGATTTTCCTCGATGATTTGGACCGGGGGAGCTTGATTTTGAACGTTGAAAACTTGCCCCGACGACAGCGAAGCCCGTGGGGGACGGGATTTTGTTGCAAGAGGGCGGGGGGGCCCTGGCGCAGCTTTGATTGTCGTCGATGGCAGATTGATTACCTTTTAATTTTGTTTTCCTTTTTTGCTTCTTTTTTTTTTGGGTTGCATGAATTATAGCTTTTGATTTTTTATTTTTTTTTGGGGGGGAGGGGGGCCAAAGAAAAAGTTTGATTTCCTCTGTTATATAATGGAAAAATTACCGATTTCGAATTCGGTATACGGTCCAAATTGTAAAAGTCGCGATGATCGTTTTTACCAATTTTAACTAAATCCATATTCGACGGCTTAAATTAGTTCCATAAAACGACCTTTTTTGTCAAATGTGTATTTTTTACCGTACCGCCTTTCTCGTGAAATTCCTTATCGATGCACTTTTTTTTTCTAATTACAAAAGGGTTTTTCCTTACGAATTTTGAATCTAAATTAAATCGTTACACAGTTTGTCAGTACCCATTTTTACCAAAAATTATATCGAGAGATATTTTTTGTAAAACATGAGTGACATTTAGGATGCATTTATTTTGCAAAAAATGAATGTGTTTGACAACATCATTCTAAAAATGATCGATTGCGACGCTTACAAAAATAAATGAAGCAAAAATATTTTTATTGTTCACGAAAAAAATTTAGATATCAATTAATATATTTTTAATCATCTAACTATTTCAAACGATACAAGACTTTTTTTTTTGAAAAATATTTATTATATCATTCAATTTTTCCGAAAACAATACGAGCCTTAATAAATTGGCAAACTCTTGTCTTATTGAATCTCCAAAGCAGCTTTCTTGCCTCTGCATTATAGTACACAATTCTCTGCTGAAACAGAGTCTCTTTCTAAGTTCAGTTTCTCTCGTTCGATCCATTGTTATTATTCTTCAATCTTCATCCAGGCATTCCACCTACAAAAAAATCCCTGTACCAAATTTCAATCAACTATGAATGAACAAATGCTGCAATGACATGTCGAAGCCATCGGGCGTCCAACTCTAGAAGTCGTGCTCGTAATTTGAGTTTGCAGCAGCCAAGAGAGCAGCTCCGATACCCGACCCGTCCTTTGAATGTTCTATCACCACGTTTCTCGATAGCTCGGTCCCCAGAAGTTCTGTGACGGCACAGTGCATGTATCCTCTGTATTGGGAATAGTTCTCGTACAACCCTCCGTCCATGGCCACAACCGTCCTCTTTCCGAATATGAGGCCCTTCGAGTCCTCTTCCATCTTCTGCAGGATACCCACAATTCCTGCGCCAGCTAACCGGCCGCCTCGCTTGGCGATGGTGTCGCAGACTTCCACGACGACTTTCCTCCCACCGAGGTTGGACTCCACCTGATTTCCAGATTGCAAGCAAGCAATTTTAAGACTATATGAAGCATCAACTTTGTGAAGTACATATAACGTAGCAAAGACAAATCACTAAGTTTCAGAAAGGAAAATAGAGCTGTATTTATTGTAATCACGACTTATGGACAGAAGTTACCAAAGCTCAGTTAGTCATACGTCTCCCAAGCCCGCAGTTCATGGTACAAAAGAACAAAGCGCCGGTAACCAAACTGAGTCAATCACGCGCACAATACCATGGGTTCTACATCGGAAATCCATACGTCTACCAAGTAAATTAAAGTGAGGAAGGATAAGAGGGACCTACTCCGGCTACATCATATAGGACCGACCCCACTTTCTGCAGATCATCGGACTCGTCTTTCTGCATTGCGCATAGATCCGGTGTCCTGAGAAGTTTGGAACACACTTCAGTAATGGTGCATCAATTAATCCACTGCAGCAAAGAGTCTCGTGAAGTTCACTCCATGTAACAGAGTTTGCATGAACAATTCTCCGAGGACAAAAGGTTCTCAGCTATATACAATTCTAAGTTGCAACTTTTCTCAATATGGTGCAGTGGGACATCAGCATAAGTTTATAGATAATAATGATGTACCAATTATCTGTTTGCAATTATGATTTTGTAATCATGGTCCCGTTAAGAATGATGAGCAATCACGGCAATGGAATTTAAAACTGTTCATCTTGTAAGCAAAGTACCGACAGGGCATAGGAACATAATTTTCTTGTTATGACTCGAGGAATATTTGTAAATGCTGATAGCACCATTTAGCTCGTCACTTTTACACAATGAACATGTGAACTTACCTAAGAAGAAAAGGAGTCAATAGTTTATCCGGTATAGATTTTCCAAACAGAGCACCTTCTTCAGCCATCTTCACCAGAGCTCGCCTCACAATTTCACCGAGATACATCCCAGATATCGTCTTCTCATAAATCTGTCATGAGATTGGAATCCAGGTGCTTACATTCCACACATTAACAAATTGCTAAATGTGAAAATACAATCGACTATGAAATCTCTTACCTGCTCACCGGGGTTAATACTCGCTGCATCCATTTCTCTATCGAACTCGGTCAAAGGAAGGCCATTTGAGAATGCCCCCCATTCAGTGTTGATAATCTAAATCACAAATATAATTATCAAAGGGGACACTAAGCATCATTAACCCGTTACTTGTGTACAGAGTAAAGGAGTGTCGTTCATACCGTTCGCCCAGAAGTAGAAACATGGCCGTCTAGCTTGGGAATAGCATCCGTCCTTTCCACATAGCAAGCATTGGTACCGGTACCCAAAATGACAGCAACCATAACATCATTGTCCCAATACCTGGCTCCAGCTAATGTCGCAACCGTATCATTCACCTGATATTCTTCAGTTGTTGGCAACCGTTCTCTAATTAAACACAATTTGAGAGATGACGTGAGAAGGAGAGAGAGAAATCACATACCAGGGCAGAGACCCGCATATCTAACCCTCGTCTCTCCATCGCTTCATTCAAGCACGCGACCACATCTTTCCCAGCCTAGAGAAGGTCAGATTGTCCAAATCAAAATGGCAACAAATAAGCAACAAGTGATGCGTAAAGATCAGGGGAAATGGCTGAAAATATGTAGAACAAACGCACTCAACAATTTATGCTGCACCTGATGGGCAATTGTAGGTACTTTTTCAGCTTTGCAATTTTTGACTTATTGATATAATACGAAATGCCTGATTGGGAGAGCCATGATAACCATAGGTCTCATTAAAGTGTGGCTGCTTGACTCATGCAACGAAGCTACGGTCAATGAAGCTTGTTTACTGTGTATACTAAGTACATTGCTTCCTCCCTCCTCTGAAGTTTGCGGTTATATTGAAGATTTTAATGAAATGGACCTCAAATATATATTCTCAGTTTTTCCCTATTCACGAGCACTTAATCCAAACTTCCTCCATGCACATTATGATTTGGAGGGCAACATCAACATGTTTCTATCACTCTTGTATAGCAGCATTTGCTGACATGCACATTTTCAGTTAAGTTGCCAGCTGTACTTTCTGCATCAGATATTGTTGAGACACTGCCATATTGGCAAATTAATCTCGAGACAGGAGAATGTCATTCGAGGGGCTAAAATTTAAACTCAAAATGACTTCCACAATAGGATCATAAAATTCACTTCATTTCTTGTATATATAATGTTAATAAAAGCCCCTGAAACTGCAAATGGTAAATGGCTAAGAACTGAAAATTTATGAGCATTAGACAAACCGTGCCCGAGACTGCAAACCCCTTCGTCCATTTGATTAGTATGCCGGAGTCTATTGAAAGCTGCTGCACAGGGAATGAAAATGTGAACCCTATCTCCCTCTTTCTCCCAGGCGGCAAGTGAAATCTTCCACCCTCCTTGTCTGCGAACTTCGCGAGACCGGAAGCAATGAAGTCGAAGAGTTCCTGCGAAGCAGTGACTGCTGAGGATTAAAAACGGGGGGGAGCATATCCACAACCAAAATTATCTCCTCCGGCACAGATTTGTAAAGCAAACCTCCGAGGTGCCAAACATGAGCTCCCGAGGGATGGTCACTTGGTCGAATTCAGTGGCAAGTACACGGTCTTCCTTCCCACCTAACTGAACTCTCAACACTCGGAAGTTCGTCCCTCCAAGATCCAGAGCATAAAACAACCCCTTCTCATTCCTTCATAGTGCATTTTTTTTCATCAGGGCATAAATAGAGTACACAGCAGACAAATTGCTTATTATAGCCAATGATGCATAATTGAAACCATCTAAAACCCAGAAAAGGAATCAAAAATATAATGTATATTAGATGAAAAACACTAAAATTTAAGAGTAGCCAAAATTAAAAGCTCAACATTTTTCTAAAGAGCACTAGAAACTGCCACCCTGTTCATGGTACTCTCAGCAGGAGAAAAACAAGTGAAAGAACATTTACACACGAAGAGATCTTCAAACACAGGAACAGAACGAACCCCCGTGACTTCCCCACTCAAAACTCCAGGCTGACTCTACATAAGCGACCCGTCACAGACCCAGAAACGACACCTTAAACACCACAGAGAGACAGCTACAACACAAGAAGAGACCCACAAGTCAAACTCTTCAAACATACACTCATACATACATAGAAACCACACACCCATACATACATACCCGCTGGGCAAGCTGTCAACGTAACTGAGTATCATCTTGAGATCGCTCCCGCCGTCGGCGGCGAGCCCCGCGCGCATATCGGCGGCCATGGCGCCCGCCACGTGGCGCAGGACCGGCAGAGGGGTGGCGCAATCCCTCTGCAGCTTCTTCAAGATGGGCGCCACGGACACGGTGGCGGATCGGGCGGCGGTCATCCCAAACCGGGCCCCCCCGCCGCTGCCGTGGCCGCTCCCGGGGGACCGGCGGAGGAACGGCGATCCGACGGCCGGCGACGCTGATGCCACCAACATTGCCCGCGGCAAGATCTATGCAAAGAAAAGGAGAAGGGAGAAAGAGACGGGGAAAAAGAACAAAAGAAGCGACCCCGAACTGCTGATGTTACGTTATAGAGAGAGAGAGAGAGAGAAAGGGACAGAGGAGGAGGACGTGCTGGTGTGTGTCAGCATGAGCTCCGTCTCCTTTGTTTCTTCTTGGTGGGAATTGGGTCGCCAAATTAACTGCCCAAAAAAAAAGAATTCGACCATTGCACTAAACTACTGCACGATCTTGTTGCTTACAAGGGAGGGTGGGGCAAAGGTTGAATTTTTCTTACAGCCCGTGTTTGAGTAGCTAACAACCAAACCGGTCGTTCGTTACCTGACAGTTTCAGGTGAGCCCTCTGCCGAAATAAATAAACTGGGGCTTTCTTATTTCTTGAGAATTTAGGGAGGAAGGTGGGTTTAGGATCAGGACAAGGTTTGCGGGGAGAGGGACGGGTGGGGACGGAGGAGGACGATGATGTCGGGATGCGGACACGGCGATCTCCTGCTTTGTTTCTTTGTTTGGTCAAAGTCGCTTCACCCAACCGAGGGGATCTGCTGAGGTGCGGTCTCGTGCACGGTTAGGTGCGCTCTCGTCCTATCGAGCTCTATGCCCGAGGTTCTTTCTATTCTACCATTTTCTCTTTCTTTCGTTTTTTTTCTTTCCTATCCCTCAATAAAGGAGTTTGGGGTCGATCTCATATTTGAGTGAAGCAGAAATCCACTTCGGGCCTGGTTGTGATTCACGTGAAAACCTCAGCAATGTACGCGCTAGATCGAGATCTAGCGGAAGTCGATGTGACCGACGTCGAGGCGACACTATCAAAATCGTGTTGATGCCGAGTGACACTACGTAAAAGGCATGTCAACTTTGGAGTCGCACGACTCTAAAGAAATCATCATCGGGGTCATGTGACCCCCGATCGAGATCTATCTAAAGTAGATGTGATTGACATCAAGGTGGCATGATCAAAATCGCGTTAATATCAAGTGACGCTACATAAAAGGCCTGTCAACTTTGGAGTCACACAACTCTAAAGAACTCATCATCGAGGTCATGTGACCCCCGGTAATACGAATCACACTTAGGTCGCCGCACTTAAGTGAGATCTGTTTTGTGTGAGACAATTGCGCAATTTGGGATAGTGACTTAACTAGGATAGCCTCGCCGACATTTCTCTCTCTCTCTCTTGTCATCTTTTATGGCGACTAGCAGTCATTAAAACATCAATGGTCTCTCTCTCCTAAAGATTTATCAAGGCTCCATTCGTTTTGTGGAAAATATTTTTCCAAAAAATATTTTTCGGCATCCAGATTTAACTTAAAAAAAATGGTAAGCGAAATATTTTTTTTGGAAAAGGAAAACATTTTCTAAAATTCGAAAAAATATTTCCTTTTGAAAAAAGTCGAAAATTATTTTTCAAAATATGTCTAAGTACTGGCGCTTGGATCCGAAACTCTACGTTTGATCATGGGAACCCTAATGCTAGTTCCCAAGTCTCCAACGCCCGGGTTAGGTCCATCAACAAGGTCAGGCCTAGGTCCATCGAGGCCAGGACCAGGTCTCCGACACTTGGGCATAAGTCCATCGAGGTTGGACATGGGTCCATAGAGGCTCAGGCTAGGTTTCTGCCCCCACGCCCATGCCTAGTCCATCGAGCCGGGCTTCTAAACCCCCGTAGCCTCGTGCCTTATGCCCCGACGCCGGCCCGCTGGGCCCATAATGTTGACACCTAAATTTGAGACCATTTAAATCGTAATTTTGTATAGAAAATTAGCGATTAAATTTTAACCCTAAACAAAAATATTTAGGTTGCATAACATATAGTTTAAATTCATTTTAAATTAATTGCATTTTGCATCTGGACCTAAGCAGGACGAACGAGCTTAAATTTCATCGAATGGGACTCACCGCCGCTTGGAATGGGAAGGCCGGACTTACAAAGTCAAACGGCCTCGGTTGTTTTAATTGACTTAATTCGTACCCACATTATCCTTAATTAATTCAGCCCATTTAAATTAAATTAAAATCTAAACCCAAGCCTAAGCCCATTAGGACTAGAGAGCCCATCTAATTGACCTAGATTAGTGTTATATATACATCATTAGGTCAGGATTTTAGGGACTCTCATAACAATTTTCGAACGCAACTTCTTGAGAAGCACGAGAGACACGCGTGAGGATTTGAGAGAGTGAGAGGCCACACAATTCAATACACGGCCACAGTAGCGAGAGGAAAGGAAGCGGCCAGACGCTTATTAGTCAAAAAGAGAGGAGACCATTGAGCACCCACTCGTGTTCACCACTGGGACATTCTGCACAGATTTTTTGGCGTTTTCCGTGAGCACAAATCAGCGGCGGCCTTTCTCCAGCTCTCAGGTTCCTGACCCAGTTCCTGGTGGCTTCCAGCTGCTCGACTAGGAGGTCCAGCGTCTGCCGTGTCGTTGGTTTCTCCGCTTCGCATTGATTAATACTAACTTCAATCCGGCGATTCAACTCTTCACCACCGTGATTCCAGATGACCAGCGACGCTTCCCGAGAAGTTCTGCGATCACTGTCCATCTTCAGCGAGGAATTTTTTCTAATTCTGCAACGTATCCGACGACTATCCGACCTTATCCCTACATACGATACGCGGTGATACGGAAAATCGTTATCTTATCCATAATCACTTGGTATACGATAATAGATTTTATTCGCTTTCAAATTCGAATAATCAATTTTCCGTCTGTATCTATAACCCTATGATATATTTAATTTGATTTCTTTTCCTAATTCAAATTTGATAAGAAGAATCTTGCGGATTGCGTGGACTGGTTTGGATCGTGGTGATTATCTATCTATTTGATTTATTTCTTTTAAAAAGAAAATTCCAAAAAAGACTAGTTAGTATTTGAATTGATTTTGTTAGAAGATAATGATGCATGTTTAGGATAGGTTTAGAATAACTTTCTTTGAATAAGTCGATAGGATAACTTTTTAATTTAAATTAGGAATTAGAGTAATTTATTTCCTAGTTTAATTTACATATTATCCTCGATCTCGACGGTTCATTTTAGGGTAATTCTTGATTTCGAATTTTCATAAAAATACCAAAAAGAAGCCACTTTAGGATAGATTAAATTATCTTCTTTTTTTTAGAATAGATTGCATGTTAATTTAGGCATTTTTTTTATTTCCGAATTTCATTGAAAAAATACCAAAAATAAATCATTTGTCCGTCATTAATTAGGTCACGTCATCGCATGACATATAGTTTGCATGTTAGGCTGCATTAATCGCATGTCATTTTTGCACGTCATTACATATAGGTTAGCTTTCATTTAAATAAGTGAAAATCAAAAAATATTGAGTGAACTCGCTTGTTAATTAGAAATCATATTAGGATTGATGATGTGATTTTCTAGCTAACAATGCAGATGCTTACGTTGTTTCGAGGTAAGTAATTCTCCCAATCTTGCAATTTATTTAATGTTTTGATTATTGGGTGTTACTTTGGTGATTTGCGCACCCGCATGATCACCTCACATGCTAGTGACTAAGTTAAAATGGATCCGACCGCATGCATTAATATTTTGAAAAGAAAAGGTACCGAAAGGGCGTTAGACTAGATCTAGCGTAATCAAGCCCCGAGTTTAGAATCTCGGTTCAGTAGGAATAAAACATATCTCCCTATGTTTTATTTAGGTTTCTAATCGACTTACCACAAATAGATTAGTGGCGACTCCAAGCATGAAAACTTTTACATGTTAAAACTTAAACCCTAAGTTACGAATTGGTAGGGCTTGGGAGGGCCCGAGTTAAGATTAGTCTTAATAATCCATTAGCCTGAGAGGAATTTTAGGTCGCGACACATAAAGGCTGGGCTCATGTCCCCGATGCTTAAGCTCTAGTCCCCTGCACTCAGGCTCGAGTCCACAAAGGTCGTGCGCGAGTTCTTGACGCTCAGGCTCGAGTCCTTGATTAATGAGACGTTTGTTCTTATGAAAATATTTTTACAAAAATCAATTTTTTAATAATTTGAAATTTTGAAATTTTAATTTTTTTTCTTTTTTCTTTTCTTTTTTGTCTTTTTACTTCTTCTTTGGCCAGCCATGGCCACGGCCAGGGATTGGCCACATGCGAGGCTCGAGCGAGCTCGAGACATGTTGGAATCGGACGAGTCTTGAGCTCGCTTGCCATTGCCGTGGTCGATGACCGACAAAGATAGAAGGAAAAGGAAAAAAATTAAAAATTTTGAATTTTTTGATATGTTTTCACAAGAAAATTAGATCAGACTTTTCATGTCAAACGGCGGAAAATACATTCTAGCTTGCTTTCAAGTTTCAATCAAATACCAAAAAATATTATCATTTTTCTAGAAAATAACTTCTTAAAAAATATTTTCAAAAGTATTATATTTTTTACGAAACCAACGGAGGCTAATACTCTTGCCCAACATTCGGGAAAATGCTTAATAACCAAGCTAGTGGCCACCGGACATAACCTGTCGGACGTACTTAGCTCAGAGAAGCGCGCACAACCTTCGTAGACACGAAGCCCATTGGACATTTGTTGGCACAACCACATGTTCTTTTCCTAAATTGAAACATAAATAAGGTAATAACCATAAGAAATTCAATAGCAACAAGCAAGAATTTCGTAGAATCTTAAGTTGGGTATAGTTGAAGAATGCCCCTCTCTTTTCCCAAATAAACATATTTTAGTCGGAGTGAGATCTAATCTTCGAGCTTCCACTTCAAACTCCCACTGAAGTGGACGCGAAGAAAGGAAGCTAAAGCCACGTTATACTTTGATATCTTTCCTTCCCTCCTCTTCACAAGCTTCCTACTTGTAACCATCACCACCCTCAAAGCAAAACCATACTGGTCCTTCCGAGCTCCATTCAGCATCCTTTTTCTTCCTTCCAAATCCAAGTTCCTCTGATAGTTCTCTCGATCAGGAGATCATGGACGGGTTGAATGTGATGGCGAGGAGGGTCGAGATTGATCGGAGAGCGCCGTTCAAGTCCGTCAAAGAGGCCGTCTCGCTGTTCGGCGAGAAAGTCCTCGCCGGAGAGCTGGTTTATACCGGCAAGCTCAAAGAGGTAAGCGAGAGTATGTTATTGTTCTCTAGTTCTAATCCTTTTGCTTACTTCAGCTCAAATATACACATGTTTAACCTTAATTATTTATCTGCTTTTATCAGCTCACTCGCTGTTCCATTCTGCAAGTGTTCCTCTTCATACAGCCACTCCGATTCCTTTTTGATTACTTCGCTGTGATCATTTGGGGACATGTGGTTCAATTTCATCAAAGTATACGCAAGAATTTAGGCATATACTGTAGAATAAGACTTCACAAAAGAGATCTCCCTTACATTCGTGCGTACTTCAAAACAATGCAATGATTAGTGCAACATATGTAAAGATTTCAACTTGAAAACAGTGCAATCATTTGCATAGAAGTAGCAAGTACACGGAGATTGGTTTCTATAATTGACATATTAAGCGACGAGGCGAATCGTTGTAGGCCTTTGAATGAGACCCAATGGTTTAAATCTTCATTTGGCGGTCTTACAAATCACTTAGCAAACCGATTTTGGAAATCTACCTTTAGATCACCTAGCCTCGGTCCGCACATAGTATCGGCAATCGGTGTATGATTCGTATCACCTTAACTAGTACCCTCGACAGTGTTGCGGTCGCTAATTTCGTGGGTTCAAGACCTTGCTTTACTATAATATTTTGGTTTAGTCTTAAGCTTGTGAAAGTACAGTACCAGATGTAGAGGAGGATTATAGGGAAGAAAATCAAGCATTCTGAACTTTAGCTTATGAACTACTCGCACTTCCACTAGCTCTGTGGTGAAGCCAGACTCTGTGTATGGCGAATAGAGAATGTCATTTTTTTGAGATCAATGACAATTAATGAGTACATTATTAAAAAAAATTATGAGAAACAAGAGAGACTTTGTAAGTTAATTCTATTAATAATTATTTTTGTATCTCTCTAGTGTTATTGTACTATTATTAAATTCTTTTTTCCTCCAACCAAAAGCATTCTTGTAGAAGCTAAGCTTGCGGGCAGATGAAGTCTTCTCTTAACGATGATTCTCGATCATCACCTGTGAAAGAATAAAGGTGTTTCATTTCAGTTGCATCTGCTCGGTACAATAAACCATTTGCTAATTTATATTATTGTTTTTTTTTAAATTTGCTAATATATTTTACAAGGACCAAAAGGGATTAATTATATACGGAAGAATTTGCTTTTTGTCTCTTAGTTTAGCTTGTATAGTAGGAAAAAAAATATTCTACTTTCCGTTTTCGTATTCACACGCTTTTCTACGCAAATTTCTCTTACATTTGCACAAATTTTCTACGCGTTTCTTTACGCTAGATCTGGCCAAATTCAATTAGCAAGACCGTCAAGCGACATTGAAATATGATATTTTGCCAGCGTGAACATCCATCGTGAATGACGAGATGGGTCAAAAAGTAAAAGAAGAGCATAATAAAAAAAAAATGAAGTGTGAAAGTTTAGGCATAGTACATTCATTATCCTTGGTAAAATGCACTTTAGTAGAATTTTCTCTATGTCACGCTTCGACATTATTCGACATCCATGTCAGTTGGATTTAGCCGCATTTAGTGCTGGAGGAACTTCATTAAAAAATTTATTAGGCAAATTTACAATACAGGACTTTAATTAAGACTAAAAATAGAATTTTTCCATATAGTAAAACCGGGGAGTATTCCTATGCATATATATATACTGAGACACGAGAGTTTTGCTAGATGCAACGAAATGGAGTCAGAGTCAACCGGCATGCAAATGGCGACAACGGTGACGAGAGCCTCACGGTGGAGCTGAGAGAGACGAAGCAGAGCCTCCAAATGGCGAGGGAGGAAGGCCTGTCCATGGCCAAGTGCCTCTCGTCCCTCCAGGAAGAGCTCGCTCGCACCAAGCGCGAGCTCCACCACCTCAAGAAGCTGGAGCGCCAATGGGACTCCGGCTCGAGCTCGAAACAGAAGCACCCCGCCGAGGTCGTTGGCGGTGGCGGCGGCGGCGACGACGACAAAGAAGACGTGAAGTTCGTGGAGAAGACTACCACGGAGTTCCAGAAGAAGCGGTACGTGACGTTCACGAACCCTGTGTCGGTGGCTCATCACGTGGCGGCACCGCTGGCGGCGGTCGACGAGGCGGTGCTGCAGAGGCATCCCTCGCTGAGGAAGAAGAAGAAGAAGGCGCTGATCCCGCTCGGCCAGATCATCGGGGGGATCTTCTCGAGGAAGAGAGGGAACAGAGCTGAAGCTACGACGTCGGCGCAACATGCATGACTACGCAACACAAGAAGCGCTCGAACACGCTGAAGCAAACTTGGCCTTCGAGCGGTGAATAAGTAGCTCAATTTTAGTTGCAGAGTTTGGTCGAACAAAGGTCGATCGATCGAACATCGATCTTGTCTTGTTTTCATTACCTGTTCTTTTTCTTCAGTATACTTGTCTGCAAAATCGAGGAAGACATCGTCTGTATCATACTAATTTCCACTGGACGACTCTAGTCTTCCGTTTCAAGAAACAGGTTTTTTTTTTTGCCAAACTAAAAGATTTTATGAAGAATGAGTTATTGTCAAAAAATTGCAGGTACAAGAATTTAGCAATTACTTGATTTGTTGATAACTTACAAATACTTTTTTTACTAACTCTTTTCGGCATTTTAAAAAAATCAAACCTTTTACACTTTTTTATCGATGAAAAGGATAGGAAGTGACAACTAACGTCGGTGACCATGGGCGTCTCCATGTACATATAAGATCTTTGAGTCATAGCTGCTGCTTATTTTAAGCAAGTCTATCGTTACCAATGCCTTGAATTTACAAACTTTTATTTGAAATTACCAATATTCGTTTAAATAATTTATCAATTTTTTCATTACCCACTGATTTTGGATTATCTTTCTCAATCATGTGAGTTGTTTACCACTGTTTTTTCCTTAAATTTGTCAAGTTTTATTGGCTTACCAATTTATCTAACCTTACATAACAAACTTTTAAATCATTTTGGTGTAAGTCTTACCTTGTCAAAGATAATAATAGGGTATTTTATAGATGTAGGGTTTTGCCTACTCAAGATGTGTGATGAAATTAAAGATTGACCACCAAGCACAAATATTTTCATATTACGATTAATTATCTGAGTTTCGACACTTCTCACTTGATTCTTAGATTAATGGGGTATTTCACGGCCTAGATTTTACCTGTTTAAGATGGATTCCTCGTTTTGAAAGAAACAATAAAAAAAGAGATTTTGATATTGATGGCTTAAAGAATATCGCACCCTAAAGTTGTAATGGATTTTTTTAAGTGAAAAGCATTTTGCAGAATAAAAAAGAGAAAACAGAAGTAGTCCTTCCGCAAAAGGAAAAGGCACAAGTAGAAACCAATTAGAAGCCGGAGTTCCCATCTTCAACGATCCATTCACGGTCACCACTTCTCTTTCATAGGAGAGGAGATCTCATGGAGTCATAAAAAGCCTCCTGGAAAGCTGTTTGATTTTCCATTGGGAATAACTGCATAGCTAGAGCATATTTTTCCATTGCCAATGATCGTGAATTCAGGCTTTGAGCAATTTGCTACTTTATAAGCTCGCAAATTGCGATTTGATGGATGATGCAATCGACGGAACCAAGCACTGTGTAATAACTCTATCGACACTTTGTGCCTGTTTGCAGCGTGTACTGTCCGGTGTAATCTCACTATTTCTAGAATGTGTGATTCACCTAATCTGGTGAGGCAAATCAAATATCTTCCGATACCTTACTTTCACAATTCACAACTTTTCACATGTATTTTCGTTGCTCAACATCCAAAATACTGGCAAGTTTTTACTTATGAAATCTTGACATTATCCACAACAAAAAAGTCTTGGCATTAATGAAATTTCTGCTAAATCAATTTGACGTTAAATAGCTAATTGATTTTATGCATTTTACAGTCGAGAAGCAGCAATTGACGGCAAAAGCCCCTCGAAGAGTCCTAATTAAGGCATGCTAGGGTCTCCGGACCCTCTCGTCGAGCCTAACTTCGAGCCTAACTTGTTGCTACGGCCCGTTTAACGCATAACATTTTTTGGGTTAGGAGGGGCCGGCTTGGCAAAGCCAAAACATGGCCAGGCCAGCCGGACTTATAGATAAATGCCCTTTTCTAGGTCTACCCAAATTTATCTGCTCGTCCATTTCGCCCTAGCCGGCCGAGGCAGGCTGTCACGTCCATAATGATTTAACTTATAGTAACTCAATCGAATATGCAATACACATTCTCACACGCATTACGTACCATTACCAAGTCCTTGGGTTCCAGGTGTGGACTAACTCGTGCCTCCGGTAATCACATGGAATAGGAACCGCAATCAGAGCTGATAAAACCAAGTGTGTATAATCTTGTTCAACGTTGAGCTCGTGACAAAAGCAACCCAAAAAAGAAAAAATTCAACCATATCAAAGGCAATGAAACTCAGCATATATCTGGACAGGCATCGTTTTTAACAGCTCTTATCAAACCATAACATCAGATCTTCTTCTCCCGTCCGAAAACCCTTCCTGAGACGATGACGACTTGTTGAAGAACTCGATGCAGTCGGCAATCGCCTCGTTGTAGTGGGATTGAGACGAGTAATATGAGCTGAACGAGCTCTTCGGCGGGTCGGGCTTGTCGCAGCTGTTCCGGGGACGCGAAGCCCCAACCACCGGCGAGGCAGACGAGCTGCGGGGAGGGAAACCCGGGAAGACGAGGCGCATGATGATCTTCCGGAGCCGGTTGAAGAGCTTCATGGAAGAGAGGTTCAGCTTCGGAGCAGTGATAGATGATGATGCTCGAGAATGATTAGGAGGGAGTCTTCCGAGCGATGATTCTTCTCCTCTAACTTGTATCACAAAGCTCTCTCTGACCCGAGGCTTGTTATGCATAGTATTACTGTAGTTCAGCGGTTTTTCTCTCTAGTTTACTTGTTCTTGGGAAATATGCTAGTATGGGAAGTGTAAAATGCTATCATATGTGTCACCTTGGTACTTATATACAGAAATGGAGGGTGCTCAGATCAATGATTAATTTTATTTGGTTGTTCTTTATTTGGAAAAACTGAATTAGAGAGAATATTTGGAAGAAAAGATCTAGAGCCCATGTGCCCAAATCATTTGCATGGGCTTTGCTTGTCCTAACAAAGCATAGTTTGCTAACTGGGTTTGTTTGGTATTGTCGAATTAATTAGTGCATACTCAAGATTTTCTTTCTCGATCATGTCCAACGGAATGATTGCACCCTCTTGTCAGAGTCCAGCGGTTCCTGATGTTCTATCATCTTCCAAGCAAACTAATCATTATTGCTGGTAAACATCGATAAACTTCAGGAGTTATAGGACTTATATAAATGTTTCTCCAAAAATCCAAGTGACTTTGTATTGTCTACTTAGGTTGAAATAATGCTTACTTTGTCCTTTGAAAAGGCACCTCACATAGAATTTGATTGGTTGGATCACTTTGTAAAAGTAAACAGAGACTGTCTTGCACTTTCACCCTTTTGGGTCCTTACAAAGCTCATAATCATTCACTGCCCAAGTTTATGTATGTGGCCATCTCATGATTGGTTATAGCGGTTGTCGAGGTATACGAACAAGGGTGTTAAGCAAAGAAAATCTCACAACAGGAATGTGATGTAAAAATATCAGGTTTCCGCTCCATCGACCTAACCAGTGATATCAGAAATGATAATTTAGATGGGAAGACCCAATATGTGTGGGTCAGGATCTAGTAAAAATCTCAATGAAAGAAAATCTCTCTCCCCCGGTCTCCATTGAACTTGGCTGGGCCAAGGCAACTGAGGTAGAGGCTGAAGAGCCGATGTTGCTTCTTGGTCCAACATCTACTCAACTTGACCTGGCCAAGGTGGAGATTCGAGCTTAGATAATATTAGTGTGGAAGAAAACTTGGACTAAGGGAAAGCAGTCTTAATGCTGAAGACTCACATGTAAGAGGAGATTTGTTGAGATACATATGTGAGAATATTAGACGAAAGAAATCCTACATCGAGAATGTGATATAATGTGGAGCAATTATTATCATAATTAGTCCATAATCCGTTGATTTAAGTTTTGATTGAAGGTGAGTCAACTTGAATATGTTGACTGGCTTAAGCTTGGTCTCTTTTTTGGTGTTTCTACGGATGAATGTACCGGACTTCTACCGGATCGACCTATCAAGAGCTATACGAAAGTTGACCTTCCAATCAAGAAAAACGTTGATGAGGTAATTTCTCTTCACAGTCTCAAGTACACAAACATATTTTGTCACACATAATATATGTTTGTATGTAAAAAATATATGATGAGCCAGCAATCCTTTAATGGCGAGTGACCCCCCTTTTCCCATCAATGGGTCCTGATAAAGAGTTAATCTATTAGCTGTTTCAACGGCACATAAACTAAGACCACATCATAACTCGTCGTGTCCTTGTTTGCTTTCGAGGTTTGAAGGATACATGCTAAGACAAACTTTACAAAGTTCCAACCAATTCAATGTGTCAGAATGCATATATTTCTTTAATTCTCGTTTCATTAAAAGGTGACATTAGGACACAGGGGCCGCACTAAGATAAACCAGAAATATAAGGGTTCAATGCATCAGCATCGATGCCCTAGTACGTGCCGTCATGATTTTGTTGATCCTCCATCGGATGTGTACATCCAATAAAGTCTTCTCTTTTGTGAGATTAGAGATAGTTCGATAGTTTTTAGGTGCCTTTCTCCTATATACACAAGATAGTTATGTAATACAACAGTTGATGAAGAATAACTCTTCCGTGATGTCGAAAAAGCTAGTTCATTTGCACCCCTTGAGGCTCGGATATTTAGGGTTACGATACGTCGCACCATATTCTTCTCTAACGTTATATGATTCAATATAAGCACTAGCAATACGAAACCTAGAAGGGCCTGAGTAAAAGTAAAGTGATTCGTATGCATTCATGACTGGTGAGAGCTTGCCCTATCCCTCGAGATAGGATCTTTAGTAAAAGTTCAGTTGGATCTTTAGTGAAAGTTCATAATAGCACAAGTAAATAGGATTTGAGTAAGTCCTTAAAAATTTTTATCTCGATTTTTGTTCAGACCTCGAAAATATAGAGATGTAAAACTTCCAGAGATAAAAATCGGGTTGATGGTCACATCTGTTTTCGTTTGAATATTAACGAAAGAATGGCTTAATCAGGAGATTTCCTCGGGCAATTGGGAGATCATTGATTCTATGGGGACAATATGATTACGCCTTGTACTTACCGCCAAAGCATTTTGGACGATGATGAGGTCACACTTCTGCAGACAATAAAATGTAAAGTTGGCGACAAAGTTATGAAAAACTAGTTTTCTACTCGAAGCGGGTACAATCTCTAAATTCGATGGTTGATTCCCACAAGTACCTCTGACTCTTTCCCTCGTACAAATATTCAGTTGATATCAAACCAAATGATGAAAAGCTTAAGCAGGTAGAAAATCGATAAATGCTTACGGAGACGACATCAAACTTTTTTTTTTATAAATATATTAAAAGTCCTAAAAATTATTATAAAAGTGCAATTGAATTCTAAAACTTTCAAAAATGCAATTAAGTCCTAAAACAATAAAACTTTAAGTAACGCAATGAAGTTTTAAAACTTGTCAATTTTGCGCAATCAAGTTCTTTCATCAATTACTTCAACTCGACAAGTTTAGGATTTGATTGCACTTTTTAAACATTCAATTGCACTTTCGTGATAAATTTTAAAATTTCTAGTATGCTTATCCCCATTTTTTTAAGTGAGATCCAGGATGACTTCAGTGTACATTTGATGCAAACGGTAGGAACCTTCAGTTTCTGTTGAGGAAGATGATGCGGCTATAAAAAGCTTGATCTGGCAAAACTTTAATGTATGTTGACGAAGACGATGGGTCTGGGAAACTTGAAAAGCTTCTTGCAACTTGAGATCTTCGATATTTGTAGAGATTTCTTGATATCTCTGCTTTTCTGTTCTGAATGTGTATGTTTCTTGAAAGAAATCGAAATATTTAAAAGATCGCCTTATAATATATATATTTAGAAAAATATTGTCATATCAATATCTTCTCCAAATAAATTTTGTTATATGAGACCTTTTAAATTTTTTTGAACAATTTCTATGTCTACAAATGCCCCGAACTTCGATGCATGCATCAAGTAAGCGCATGAAGAGGCGTAACTTGAAATTCTTCCTGTACCATCTACCTCTGATACTGGTGTGCCCAGGAGTTTTCTAACTTGAAAGTTCCGCCCTCGCCTTTTAACTTTGAACTCTAGGCCTTTTGAATTCGTGCCGAGGAATTCTTTTGACAATTTGTTTTGATCTTGAAGCCTTTAAAGTTTCATTCCAATGAACTTTCTCGCAGATAGTTTAGACTTATATCACGGATATTAACTTTTAATGAAACATCCCGCATTGTTTGACTATGAGGTTTATGTAATCTCCTTTCACTCATCAGTTTAAGATTTTGGATTAAACTTTTAATATAGTATCATAACCCCAACTTATATTGCTTGATAGTTTGGGCTCTTATCTGGATTGCATACCTACCATATGGTAATATTCATCACCACATTTTTTTGGCACGATTTTATTTTTCTGAGGATGCCCTTTCTTTTTTCGTTTCTTCAATTCTTTGGAAGAATCCTCAATCTTCATATTTCTTGGTTTCATCAATTCGACAGAAATTAAACCGACCGATTATGTCTCGCGAGGAGAAGATTTATCCTTGTCCTCACTGGTTGGGTCTTCAAAGTTGTGAGCTTCGACACTGTAGTCAAATGCCATGATTTCCTGAGATAAACAATCATATTCCAAAAGACGATTAGACCTTGGCGCTTGAGCACGGTCCTCCGAGACTGGCCCGAGTCTCCTGAGGCCAGGCCAGTGTCCTTGCCGCTCAAGCCCAGGTCTCCAGCGGCTAGTAGAGATGTCAAAATGGGTCTTAAACCCATATATGACCCATTTAAAAGATCACTTTGATTTTAAATAGCCAACCTTAAACAGGTTTTGAATTTTAAAGCTTAAAGATAAATGGGTCTAAATGGGTTGAATTTGGAACCCATGTCCAACCCACCCACTTAAACCCATCCACACACTCTCTCCCTCTTTATAAAAATGTTTAAAAAAAAATCGAAATTTAATTACTTTTATTTTTTCTTTTTCTTTTTCTTTTCTCTTCTTTCTTTTCTTTTTTTTTATTTCGCCGTGGTCGGCCACTGACGCCACGGCGGGACAACCTTGCCGGCCTCGGCAGCTGTTCTGCCCTGGAGGCTCCCGCCCGATTCGGTGAGGCCAACTCGACTCGCCACGTAAATGGATCTAAATGGGTTAAGTTTGGAACCCATATCTAACCCACCCACTAAACCCATCCACACACTCTCTCCCTCTTTTATAAAAATGTTTAAAAAAATCGAAATTTAATTATTTTTTTTTCTCTTTTCTTTTCTTTTTCTTTTCTTCTTTCTTTTTTTTTTTTTTTTTATTTCGGTCGGTGGTCGGCCACGGCGACCGGCCACCGGCGGGACAACCTCGCCGAGGCCGGCGAAGCTCAAGCTCGTGCTTGATTCATCGTTAGCCAAGCCCGAGACCCTAACGTTGGGCTCAAGTCCCTCAAGGCCAAGCCCTTTAGACCCGCCAACGACAGCTATGCCCCTAGGTTCAGTTAGGTCGAGATCCCATCACTGCTTGAGTCACCGTTAGCCAAGGATGGACTTGGTACCCTGAGTTTCGACCGTGCCTAGGTCCCCGGTGCCCTATCCATGGACCTGAGGTTGTATTAATTGGAAACCTTTTTCTTAAATGTTTGTTTCATAAATTTCTTATAACAAATATATATAAAAAAAATGGACATAACTCAGCCAATTATAAACAAATGATT